TTGGACATGGCTGGGACCCCGTTCCCATGAATGGGGGACGGCGGGGCAGGGGAGTAGGCCATTGCTAGGGGGAATCGCCAGCTGGCTGAGATTGGAGAGGGAGAGAGAATAGGCAGAGGGAGAAGGAGAGGGTGGAGGGCAGAAGGCAGAGGGCAGTGCGAGATGAGTGAGAGCGACGATCGATGTATCAGTGGAGACACCGACAGGGGCTTGCAGGAAACTGCTGCCGGGACCGAGCAAGGCTAGACCGTGATATTCGGAGAGCAGTATGCATAAGCACGTCGGAAACACAGCCGGACAAATTCGCGGCGACGAGAAGGACGAGGCAGACGAGGCAGAAGAAGAAGATTGAACTGCGAGAGTGACGGAGCCCCAGAAGGCGGGAGCCCGGCCGTTGCCCGATCCGGCATAGCCTCGGTGACATCTTTGACCGCCCGCTGTCAGCCCAGGACGGTATTGTATTGAGGGAGTGTGCGTACTACTATAACCTATTGATAAAGCATGTTGATGTCTCTACGGAGAGATGTTGAGAATATGACTATTCTGCCTGGGATAGGGTGATCTTACGTCTGCCATTGTCGCGCTGTTGGAGGGGTGATTGAGTCCGGTCCAACGGGGTTAAGTATTTACTACTACTAAGGATCCCATCTCCGCTTTTGCCGTATTGTTACCATCAGACAGATCGTACCACAATGGCTACACAGAACTGTACAATGGTCGTCTATAGCACCATACAGTCAAATCTACTCCTGAAAGTTACAATTAACACAATACATCTCTGACTGGATCATGTATTTCCATAATCTAGTAATAATAATGAAGATAATAATAATAATAATCACATGCTAGTAGTGGTCGTCACGCTTCCATGAAACAAATATCCTGGGTATTTCATCCGATGATAGCAAATGCACAGTCAATGCTCCCTAGACATCCAGAACCAAGTCCAACACCCCAGACGCCGCCGGACCCGCCAGATCCCCTTTTATCGCAGTTATATATCCAGCAGGAAATGAAAAGAAAAGACAAGAAGAATTGAGCGTCGAGGGAAGGGCGGGCGGGGAGGTCGATTCTGCAGCCGGCTCCACAGCTGCCGCTCCCGCTCAGTGAGACCGCCGGATCACGAAAACTCCCAGCTCCACGCCGTCGCGCAGCTCCGAGTCCTCGCCGTACGGTCGTCGTCGGATCCCGTCAAGAATCTCGCCCAGAAGCATGGCAGACGTCACTTCCTTGTCCTCCAGGATGTAATTGGTCGACATGTTCGACACGGCTTTCGTGGCGGGGAGCCGCCGCCCGTTCTGCCAGTACACGCTCAACACCTCCTTCATGCGAGCCTTTTCTTGGTGAATGTACCACTCCGTCCACATGTCCCGATCCAGATGCGCACTGCCTTTGCGGGCATCAACGATGCTGAATTGGGAAGAGGAGGAGCTCAGGGTGCAACACAGCTGAGCGAGGTTTTCCCGCATGGTGTCGAAGTCCTCCATGTGGGCCACCGAGGACAGCTTGCCCAGGTACCGGCCGATGTCGGTGGACAATTCATTGACGACCACGAGCTGACGAAGCAAGGGGTCTAGGATAGGCCCGAGGTACTGCGACTTGAACGTCGATGCACCCCTGCGGGTCGGGTAGACAAACAATAACGAACCCCCTTCCGGCGACAGCTCAGACAATCGGTCTACCAGGAAGGACGGGCGGTAAGGCGAGAACAGGTCTTTGTACTCCTGTGCTGATGATGGGGGAAGGTACCGTTCCAGAACCGATACGTGGACGGTGTGCGGCGGGACGACCGGCATCGGACAGTGTGACATTTTGGACTGGATTGGTCCCCGGAAGTCGTGATAGGCCGAAACAACAGCTGCGCTGGAGAAGACGGCCGGGTTGAAGTAGTCCTCGCTCGGGAACAGAGAGCGGGGCGTGGGCGGCGGAGAGCAAGGTAGGTTGGACAGGCTAAATTGCTCCGGGACCGCGTGTGTTATGTTGATGTACGGGGACTGTCCTTGGCAGAGGCGATTCTGAACCGCTTGGACGAGGGCACAGTACACGCTATCATTTGCTGATACGGTAGTGGATTTGTCTGCCGGACGGGGGTATGGAAGCATTTGAGAGACGATCTTCACGGCTTCTCCGCGAGTATTCGAGATCGGAAGCGATGACACTATCCCAAAGATCCATTAGCGTGTGCAATTAAGGGAGAATCATTCCGCCCGATCCACCCACTCACCTGTGGCTTCGATGCTAGTCTCTAGCCATGAATTGTGGTCACAATCCATGTCGCCCGATGACCCGGGACTTCCACCCGAGCTTGAAGGCGAGATGTTGGAAAGCTGATCGGATGGGCTGCTGAGGCCATCTGGGGCCCTTCCTGGCGAGTTGTCGATGTTCCGGCCATCATCCATGGCCATCGGCCCGGGTTCCCGGTTCATATGCGACTCGAATAGCAACATTCCCGACGAAGGGTTCCACGCGATATGGTCGTTGTCTTCCGGGGGGGTCGGAGGCAAGGCGGAGAGATAGTCGCTTGTAGTGGGGGTCTCCCACACCCCGGAGGTCGACTGGGACGCTCGAGCCGCCAGCGAGCCCGAAGCGGGAGATGTGGTGGTAGTGGTGAGACGGAGACGGGAATCGGCAGGGTTGGTCCGGGGGTCAGTCCGGCCAGGGGTTTTGGATGCTGCGAGGCCGAGTTCTTCGAATGAGGGCAGATGCAGGGAGGCGTTGCTGCGAGACAGGAAACGGGAGACGGGAGAAGGCTTTGTTGGGAAGGATCCTTGAGAGGCCCGTCGCTTCAATCGACTCGAGCCTGTCTGTGGATGAAATGGAGATGGCGATGAGGATGGTAGTTGATGCTGTGTCTTGAGGGGGGAAATGGGGCTTAATTGGAGGGGATCTTGGGAGTCAAACGGAGATACGGCTCTCATCGGAGTGCTGGGTTCCCCGGACACTTCTGACGACGAAGCGGATGAGGACGACGACGACGACGAAGAGATTGGCGAGCGCATGACCGAGCTGTCGCGCACCACAGAGGTAGGTCGATAAGGTCCATGGCACTGTGAAGGATTCATCCAGTCTGCGTTGGGCTACTGGCGAGCTAGAAGCCTAGGACAGTGAGGAGGGCGGGCCCAGCCAACAATAATAGATCCACGAGTGCGCTCAAAGGCGGAGAGGCGTCAAATGCAGGAGCTGCCTGGTTCCAGATGCCAGGATGGGCTCTCAGGGGGTGGTCGTGGAGTTCGTGGAGTGCCGAGAAGGATCGTGAAAGTTGGGTGTAGTTTGGTCGAGAGACCGACAGCACATGGAAAGTTAGCTGGCCGGGGGGGGGGGGTGGGCAGCGGGAGGTATAATGGGAGCGGACGGAAGCGAGCAGAGGCTAGATTAGAAGAGACGGTCGGGAAGACGAAAAGCAGGTGACCAGGCGGAGAGAGGGAGACTGGCGAGCGAGGGAGGGGTGGAGGAAATAGTATGAGAGAAGAGGGGATAGGCGGGAGGGTAGAAGGTTAAAGGTGAAGGTGGTGATGAGTGGTGGAAGGGAGAGTGGGGGAGAGGGAGAGGGAGAGAGTGGTGGTGGTGGTGGTGATGATGATGATGATGATACAGTGGGGAAGAGCGAGCGAGATTGAAGGGGGAGGAAGAGAAAGAGCCATCGGGGCGTCTGAGAAAGTTTAGTCCTGCGGTTCAGGATGGAGAGACCGAGAGAGAGAGCAAGTCGTCCGACAGCCGAAAAAGGATCATGACGCCTGGGAAATGACCCAAGGGCGAGACGAGACGGCCTCGACGCAGAGACTGACAGCCAAGAGCCCTCGGGCTGCGACTTTCCACCGGCGTTCTAGACCCGGGCGGGCTTGGCCTGATTGGGGAATTCATGACACGAGGACGCCCGGTCGGGCCAGTCAGCGGGTGAGCAATGCAGGTGTATAAAACGGGACACATTTAATCTAGTTATCCCCCTCCACCTGCAGCGCCGCGTACGAGGTACAGTGTACTGTGTACGAGTAAGGTACGGAGTACAGGGAGTCATCAACATAATTCTGATTATAATTATGATTATGATTATAATTCACTTTCCTTCCTTTTTTTTTTTTCTGTCTTTACACCGGATGATTCCCCCTCTCTTACCGGTGCTGATGCTGATGCTGGCGCTGCTCCGTGACCTGCTCAGCGCGCGGCCAAAACAGGCCCAGACGCCGCCGACTCATCTAGGCCTCCATAGTGGCTGATCGGAGCTAGACCGGGTCAGGCCCAGCGATACCGTAACGGGCATTACACGGGCCCTCCGCCAGGCGGCCAGGCGGCTTGGGTGGACGAGCAGAGTGCCCACCTTTTTAGTTTTGCCCCCCAAAAAGATGAGGGACCCACCGCCGCCTGGCCTTTTCCCGGACTGGGCGCGCGAGTGAGGTGCTGCCGGCTGGCTGGTGCTGGCCGCTGGCCGCCCGCTGGGTAGACTGGACCCTGGAAGCCATCGAGCCGGCACCCGGGTTTGGGATAAATGACCTCCCCCCTCCATCCATGACGCGGGTAGGATTTCTATGGATCAACATGTAGTCTAGATAGATACTAACTTCGTGGCTAGATATTTAATAGATATTTATCTATCTAGCTACGACTTTACTCGCTAGGCGAGCGGCGGATGGAAACCGACTGCATGGCCATGGAGGGGGCTACTACCCCGTCCCGAGTCGGCAGTCGGTAAAGTTCACGATCTGCTCGATCGGGAGGTAGCAGTTATTTCACCCGGGGGGAGACCGCGAGGGTTGCTTTTTCTTAAACCCCATTATTAATGCTACTATTATATTGAGTCAGGTAGTATTGGATAGTACTAGGTATTATTCTTCTTCCCATACAGCGGCAATGGCAGTGGCAGTGAGTGGCCTGGGCTCGGTAATGCGTTTACCACCGCCGTGGATCTCGTATTACACGGATCAGCATCACTTTATCGATCGTCTACGGTCTACACCGTCTTGTCCGAGGCTTGATTGCTAGTAGTCTCACATCCAGTAGATACATGAATCTGTTGCATGTAGCTCAGATCATGGGTTGGGGGGGGTGCTTGCGGGATCTGATGCGAAACCGGTCGCAAGAGCAGCCTAGCGAGGCAAACCCGGAAGATAGTCCCTGATCAAATCACGATGGATCCTCCGTGAAAAAAACAATCACTGCTTAGTGTGCTGTGTAGGGTGGGTGGGATGGGTAGCGTATAAATAGATTGTGCTAGCACTCTTCACAGGAGTATCTAGATAGTTCGGGTCTTGAGGATTCTTCCTACGCTTAATATTACTCCGTTCTATTCAACCCGTCTGCACATGACCTATAACATCCACACCGTCAATTAGTAGACCTGGGTGGTTAATTTCTCGTACGCAGTAGGGTAAAAGTGGACGTCGGGTGGACGCGCACCCCAAGAGGAAAAAAAAAAAAAAAAAGGTTCTGGAAGTCCCCAGTCAGTCAGTCGGTCACCACCCACACCTAACAGCGCCTCCCCCGACCGTCGAACTGTCCAACTGTCCAACTGTCCAACAACCCGCAAATCTCCCTTCCTGGTCGGGTCCCTCAAAAATTCGGTTGGATCTTGACGTCGACTGTCTGGCCTCACCCTGGTTCGGCACGGCGCTTCAGCGGCTGCCATTGGCCGTGAGGGCAGAAGAAGGCTTGCTTGCATGGCGCGATCGCATCCACTGCCGCTTCCGGGCGGCCAGACAGACGCCTAGACCCTTGTTCCGTGCTGCCGAAAAGATCCGCCTAAAGTGGTCCAGAATCAATCAGGTTCAATTATTGTCATTGGTGTGAGGGCGGGTTATGGTCCGGCTTAAGGTTCAATGTTCTTGGATCAGCCCAGGTCGATGGTGCCGGCCTCTCGACCTGACTGGCTTCGAGCCCGGAAGGTCAGGGTGTTAGGTAGAAGGTTAGGCCAGCTCAAGATAGGGTACCTTACCTGACCTACAACTTTCTTTGCCTCCTGTACCTACAGATCCGTCCAGGCTATCGTGGATCCGGCATGGCTCCCGTCGGCGAGCTGGGGGAGGGAAGGGGGAAAGGATTGAGGCTGAGGCTGAGGCCTGGGTTGTACTTTTGGCTGGCTGGCGGTGCTGACGGTCTACAGCAGCACCTACATGCCTATCTATACATTTATCTATCTATCCACCAAAAAAATAAGTACCATGGCCTGTGCATCTACTAAACGGGATGGTCTACTCCCTATCTCAGCCTCACGGCATCGCATCTGACCTGAGATATCATGACAATCGCTCCCCCCCCCCTTCCGGTCGGTCGGTTGGTCAGTCTGTCGTACACCGCAGAGGGAGGGGACACCGCAGACGGAGTGTATATCAAGCCGTCCTCTCCACTCGCCGCAATCCAGAACAGAGCAGTCAATTGGATGCATCGGGACGTGTCCCTAGCCAAAGCAGACGGGAATGGGATGTCGTAAGTGGCTGCAGGGAGCTCACCTGCATGCCCAACTATTGTCTAATAGGGCATGTTCATCATCCAGCAGACCCCCCCTCTCCGAGTTATATTGGTCTGGAATGAGCGCCAGGCTTTTGAATCCACGGTCAGTGAGATTGGACCCTGGCGGACTGGCACTGGCAGACGGGGGGCGTGGGCGTGGGCGTGGGCGCAGTGGCAGTGGCAGTGGCAGTGGTGTCGACGTTCATGCCTGACGGGTGCCACGCCCACTACGTAGACTCCCGAGCAGTACCACCTGCCTAGTAGGGAAGGTACCCCGTCAGCAGCGGGCACTCCCTATAGTATATACTATCCACCCCTCCGAAAGGAAGCGAGGAGGGGAGGGGAGACGACAGGCCCAGCCAGCCCGTAGCCCAAAACCTTCCTATCCGAACCCGATGATATCCACCCCCCCAAGCCAAGTCGACGATCATCATCAATGCGTCCGTCCGTCCGCTGGTGCCAATCCCCTTGTCCATGGAGTCCCATTGACATTGATTTATTGACACTTGATTGCTACTGGCGTGACAGTTCAGTCTAAGATCCAACAAATCAACTAGTCTACTGTTAGATAGTACTGCTCACCACCGCACCCAAGAAACCAGAACTAAGGGAGAAAACCACGCGGCCGGCCACGCTGACGGCCCCCAAACTTGATTTTCCAGGCCAATCCCGCTGTAGATCCTTTGACAACCTGTTTCCCGAGTGATGGGTAAGATACGGGGACTACTGTAGGTTCTACACTAGGTGGATAGATAGTAAGGTACTCTGTTCCACTGAGCTGGTGGTGGTGGTGGTGGTGGTGGTGGTGGTGATTCTGCACACGCCAGGGACCACCACACCAGACCGACTGACCGCATGCCCTGCTCTGCCCTGGCCGGCCACGATCTCGACTTGTCTCTCTGTACCACCAGGAGTCAGTAAGACAACCACCCAACCACAACCACAACCACCAGGGTACTGGTAGGTAGGTAGGAAGGTAGGGTGATCGCAAGTGGGCAGCTCCAGCCCAGCAGCCCAGCAGCCCAGTCCAGCCCAGCCCAGCCCATTTCATCTCATCTCCATCTCCATCCAGCTCCATCCAGCTCTTTCGATCGGTACTCAGTGATCAGTACATAGTAAACAGATGATCAGGTGGTAATCCCCGTCCTCGTACTCCGCAGTCGTCGAGCCTCCAGCTCGGCCGCGGGCCCATCTAGGCCCTCAAGATAGACACCTGAGGCATACATGTGCCGTGATGACCAGCTGATACGCAGGCAGACCGAAGGACCGAAGGACCGTCGAACCTCGAACCTCGACCTCAAACATCGCATCCATGGAACTTCGCCTCGCCTCCGTCCCCGTTTAGAGTTCCCCACGCACGCACCACGAAAAGAAAAAGAAAAAGAAAAAGAAAAGAAAAGTCGCCACTCTCCAGAAGTGACAATAATTACACCGCTCATCTCCGCCAGCATACGACATCATCTCAACAGTCAGGTAGGTAGATAGGTACTTCGTACTTGTGGTGCCCTGTAGTGTCTGTCTCCTGATCTGATCTGATCCGATCTGCGGTCATACACGGTCCCAGACTTCCAGACTCCCAGACTCCCAGACTCCCAGACTTCCTAGAAAAAAAAGACAGGCAACTCCACAGTAGTAATATCGCCAACCGTCTCCAGTCCCGGTCCCAGGGCCAGTCCCATGATATTAGTATTATTACCTGACCCATCATCCACACTCCTCCCACTCCATAAGGTAGATAGTAGATATCCATCCATCCTGTCAGTAACAATCTCATCCATGTCCACTGTCTGTCTGTCTGTCTGTCTGTCTGCTTGTCTACCTTACTTCTCTACCGACAGCGGGTACAAGCGCCCATCCACCCACTCATCCAGAGAAGACGGATGGACGGACGGATGAATAAAATAAGATAAAAAAAAAACAACAACAAAAAAATAATACAACCTAGATTAATATTAGATTAAACCATGAACATAGCCGTTATTTGCCGCCGACTTACGCAGACACTAATCTACTCTCTACTATACAACATTAGTTGGCACTTTGTACCTAGTTAGTTTGTACTGTTATCTATCTATCTGGGTCCGTCATCTAACGTTCTATACCTTAGTGGTCGCGTCCCGTGTCCCCCACCGGTGTCTCAGGTATATACCAGGGAACACCAACGTTGGGTTTCAGAGGTCTTGGAGGGCAGGCAGGGTTTCAATTGTTGTCTCGGGGGTGTGGTTTGGTTCGATTTGATTTGTTCGGTTCGACGTTTTCCGTTGTACTGCTGTGTATACATACTACTGTTAGGAGTGTGATGGTTTCTGGTAGGGATCCGTGTGTGTGCCTCGTCACATAGATACGAGGTAAGGTGGTGGTGATGGTGATGGTGGTGTGGTGTACGCGCAACGCAAAGCAAGTCGGAGACTGGCAGACGGGTGAGCGGGAGACTACGTAGGACAAGGACAGCCTGCGGCATCTTGTTCTTCGCTGAGTGTACGGCTACGGCGGCGATCTGGATTCAGACTGGGTTTCATGCTCAGTTACTCTGCATGGTAGGAGTACGTGTCTGTTTACTGTACATGGTACCAGAAGTAGCTCCATCATTATCATTATTATCACCTCAACCTCCATCCCACGGCTAATCCTGTTGCCATTCCATCCCATTCCGTATTTTCCGGCTCTTCCAATTAGCCCCCATACCCTTTGCTCTCCTTCGGAACCGTGGCTGTTCCCAAAATAACCTCTCCCTGGGGCCACGCTTTGCGCCCCCTTGCTGCCTGTGGCTTACACGATCTAGACACCTTCATTCAAGCCACTCGCGCCATACGGCATGTATCTCCGCGGAAGAATGCTCCAGGGTACAGCATCGACGGGAAGGTTTTGTCCACGCGGCTTTCCGTCCAGTAGACAAAGAAATGTGTGCATAGATACCGCCCGCATGACTCATGCAGCAGTTCTGCGAAGAGAGGCGCTCGGCGTCTTTGGATCCGGGCTGCACATCACCGGTTGCGTATTGTGGAGGCTGCCATAACTCATTGGATTGGTTGAGTGAGAATGCAAGCCTTGTCCGCGCTGAGGCAGCCCTCAGTCTCGGCAATCACACTGGATGGACAAGGTGTTAATCGCAGGACATGCAATTCATGTCCAAAGTACCGGTGGCCACGAAGTCGAAGGGAGTATGGTTGTTGTATATATCCGTAATCGCTTGGTCAATTGACACAAGCACCCTTTGTCACTTAAGAAGTCACGGATCGTCTCCGGGCGTCCGCATGTCTGCGCGTGTGTAGTCGCTGGGGTCGTTCATTCAATCGGGAATGCAGACGACTGGTACTGGCCTTGGCGAAGAGCTTCTGGTCTTCGCCAGAGGTGAGAGGCATCTGGGTGCAGCTGGATTGCTTCACCGTAACCGAGGGGCGCGACGAGTCACTCCGAAAGTGGGCGCTGGATTTGTACGACGTCTGAGGCTGCAGGTCTTGCCGACTGAGAGCGGCCTGCAGTTCCAAGCACTGCAGCACCAGCTGCTTCACGCCGTCGGTCAACGCACAGGCCCGGTATTCGATCTCGGGCCAGAAGGCATCGCCCCAGAAAGGATCCTGGCGGACCGCTGTCTCCAGCGACTCATACCAGAAGTCAAAGTTGGGCAGTCTCCTCTTAGCGCTGGGCAGGTCCAGACCCTGCAGGTGGTCTGACAGCAGGCACGCCACGGCCACAAAACGGATAGTGGGCTCGGAGTTCAAAACGTGCAGGACGATGCAGGCGGGGCAACGCTGGGTCAAGTACCAATCGTGCTCCTCACTAAGGATGGAATGCAGCCACGCATATGCACCGCGCGCCTCACCGCGGAACGCCCGTTCAGACTCCGCTCCTTTGCGACTGGGGAGCACGCTTGTCGCGATGCGCGAGGCTTGGTTGTGGAGCAGGAAGAGAGGGAGGAGGATGGTGTGGATGATGTCGCGATGCAGGCGGAAGGTCTCCTGCATCTGGTCGGTACAAGAATGGCGATGCTCGGAGCAAAAGCTGTGGCACGCGGTCATTAGCGATGGGTAAATCGTCGCGATAGACTTGGTAGCCACATACCTAGGAGCCTTCATGCCCAATTCCTGGCGCCGCAGATGTTCCCGCACAAGGCGGAAGGCATCGTTCCGGTCGAGGCTGTCGCGGTCCCGGGAGGAGAGGCGAAACGGGGAGAAGGTGTTGGTGGTGGACATTTTGCGGTCAGCCGCTTGTCGCGCAACAGAGCCTGGTATCGAATGTGGCCTAAAGGGGGAGGCGAATATGATATATCCAAGACACAAAAATAGAAATCCCGTGGCTTGCGAATATACGGCTCAGGATGACGTCGCACAGGTTTGGGCGGGACGGTACGGAGTAGCCAAAACGACTAATCCGAGCCAATCAAGCGAGGTGGGAGCGGGCGGAGAAGCTTTCCTGGGAGATCGATGATATGAGACGGGAGAACCACGGATAGCATGATCCAGACCAGAAGTCAAAGTCGTTATCGGTGGTGATGACGAGGACGATAATGGGGGGGGAGGGAAAGATGGGATAGCGAAGGGGAGGGAGAAGGGAAAGAACGGGAAGGGGGGGGACAATGGTAATTGTAGATATAGCAACGCGAAGCGAGCGAAGAGGGGAGGGATAAGAACAAAAGAGGGGGGGGGGGAATGGATTTTAATTGAAATGAAAAGGGAAAAGGAGGAAATGAGACGTTGCTGAGATTCCTTGGAAGGAAAGCGCACGCATGCGGGAAGGAAGCCCAAGTCAGGTGCGGCGGCCCCGTCAACGCGCAAGCCGGCGACGATCCGGCCTCGCTAGTCTGCGACACTCCATCACACTACAACACCACCACTACACTGTCGTATCGCCCGCCCGGGCCTCGCTGCTGCTGTTACTGCTTGCAACCGCCTTCTCACCTCCCACCTCCTCCCACCCCCCCCCCCCCGCCTCCCAACCAGCCTACATAAGACACCTCGTACTGCCACCACCACACCACACCACCTTCTTTTTTCTCTCCGACTCTTTATGCTTTTGCCAGTGCCTTTGGGCAGCAGCCGGTGAAAGAGGCCGGTGAGAGACGACCCCCCCCCCTCCTCAGGTCTGGTCTCCAGATGATCCTAATTATTAGTGCGTGGGCCCGCCAGGGTCTCGATCGTTGCCAAGCCCCACCGGCCCTCGTGCTGGACAAGGCCAGAGGCAGCCAGACGCCCAACTGGCCGAGAAAAGGGGGGCAAGCCCGGGCGAGCCCTCGCGAGTGGCCAGGTTCTTCCCGCCATATTAATAGCACCACTTCGCTGGACGATGATTAAATCACTTGAAAGCACCGCGCTATTGTTTGAGAGATTAATGACCTCAACGCCTCCTCCGCGACCTGCCAACCTGCCAACCCGCCAGCCCGCCAGCCCGCCAGCCAGGAACCACAGCCGATCAAACAAGATACCATGATCTAATTGCGACAGGCTAAATCTATCCACCCGGCCCCCTGTCGCTGGCCCTATGGGTTTCACCACGGCAATAATCGTTGCGGAAATGATGAAATCATGAGCAATTGTGTGTGCACCACTGCACCATGCCACTAGCCCAGCCCTGGCCGGAACCCGGCCCCCTCCGCGGTCACGTGCACGCATCCCGGGGTTCCCCTTTCGGCGTCGGAATCAACAATCCAAGCCAATCCACTGTCCGGAGTACTAGTAGATAGATATATCTGGATATTGGATACCCCTCGTAGAAACCTAGAAGGTCTCCTATCCCTGGCTGGCGCCGGCATTTTCAGGGGTGGTGTCCCATCCATTCTCCCCGCAGATACCTCCGGCTCGGAGCATTATTCGCAGCATATGGTTGCGACCCTGCATACATCCATGCTGTCGATCCTTCACCCTGGCATCCGCGACTCTCCAGCGGCTCTCCCCTCCCTTCCATCTCGCGGCATTCCTTCCTCGCCAGTCCGTCGGAGATAGCATGCCTGGTCGCTCGTGCGATCGCGAGCCATCCTGAGATACAGGCACTTGCGGAATACTTTTGACGTCACTCTCCCTGCAGACACCCCCCCCGAGTATGTCTCCTTCAGGGGATTGACAGTGTCGTGGTATGGCTGGGAGTCAGGACAATGCCCTCAGATGCCTCCCAATGCATGACTTCATTGGGATTCTCTCGCATATTAAAGCGAAATGATCCTGCCGACAAACGAAACTACAATCGCCATTCCCTTTGCTGTCGCGGGCTGTCTGGGATATCCGTTCGGTTGTTTTTTCCGGTTCACTGCAGAGCAGAAAGCACTTGGTCCTGCAGTCTCCTGTACATTTCAGTCTTCAATTTTCTTATCGGCGCCAAGTTGGACAGGTCCACTTGCCTATTGTCAGTGTGCTGGTAACCGGACACTCTCATCAGACCGACCTGCGGAACAACCTCGCAGCCCACCAAGGGATACTCAACAAGGCCCAACTCACGCTCGGTGAAGAAGACAAACCATGGCAGGAACACGCTGGTCACCGTCCGTGGCAGCCATTTTGCTGCTGAGCACGCTTAGCGCTGTCCATGCCATCCAGACAATCTCCGCCGTCGGGTCCAAGTTTTTCTACGAGGACGGGACGCAGTACTATATCAAAGGTGAGAGCGATTCGACCCACGAGTACTACCAGCACGCACTGACCATTTCCCCCCCATGGTCTAGGCATCGCCTACCAGCTCATCCCGGAAGATCCCCTGATTGACACCGCTCAATGCACGCGAGATGCGGGCCGCATGGCCGAGTTGGGCACCAATGCAATTCGCGTGTACCATGTGGACCCCCAAGCCGACCACGACGGCTGCATGAAAGCATTCGCAGACGCAGGCATCTACCTGTTCGTCGATCTGGACACGTTCGACACGTCCATCTCACAGGTCCGTTGTCCCATGCCCATGCCCCATGACCTATCACCTTCATTCCTTCAACCCATCAACCAACCAACCAACCAACCAACCATTGCCCAAACCTAGCTCACCATCCCACAGGATGACCCCCACTGGACGCAGCCGCAGCTCGACAGCTTCAAAGCAGTCGTCGACGAATTCCAACAATACGACAACACGGCAGGCTTCTTCGTCGGCAATGAAGTCCTCACCACGCCGGCAGGCTCCTCCGCAGCACCATACGTCCTAGCCGCGGTACGCGACATCAAATCATACCGGAACGAGAAGAACTACCGCTCGATCCCGGTAGGCTACTCAGCAGCCGACATCGCGGAGCTGCGGCCCATGCTGCAGAACTACCTGGTGTGCCGCGCGGACGCCTCAGAACGGCTGGACTTCTTCGCGCTGAACGCGTACGAATGGTGCGGCGACGCCTCCTACCAGACCTCGGGCTACCAGGTCCTGCAGTCCCAGGCCGACGGATTCCCAGTCCCAATCTTCTTCTCCGAGACCGGCTGCAACACCGTCCGCCCGCGCACCTTCACCGACCAAGCCGCCATCTTCGGCCCAGACATGTCGCAGACCTGGTCGGGCGCCATGATCTACGAATGGATCGAAGAGACAAACGACTACGGCCTGATCAACTACGGTCCCCACGTCGATAACCCTGACCCCGCCGCCGCTGCGGCTGTTGACCCCACCACCCTCCAAGACGGCTTCCCTCGCAAAGGCGATCCCAACCCCATCGCCCCCGACTTCGAGAACCTGAAGGCCCAATGGGCCACCCTCAACCCCTCCGGAGTCGCTCTGTCAGATTACCTGCCCAGCACCGCTGCAATCACCCTTCCGGATTGTCCCGCCTCCACGGCTGGCGGGTGGTCGGTTGACCCTAGCGCGCCGCTGCCAACCCTCGGTGAGACATTCCATCGTCCCGCCGACTCTGCTTCCCCTACCACTGCCACCGCGTCAGGCGCTTCGGCCTCGGGCTCGTCAGGGAGCGAGGCTACTGGCTCCAGTTCTGGTTCTGGTTCTGGTTCTGGTTCAAGCAGCTCATCAATCACCCAATCCCGCGCGGGATCGACCCCGTCTGCATCGCCCACATACGAGCTCAGTAACGGTGCGGGGTCGCTGGGAGGTCCATGTCCGAGTGGTTTTGTGAATATCGCCGTCATGTTGTCCTTGTTTGTTGGGGGGTTGGCTGTGTGGTTGTGAGTGAGTGAGTGATGAGTGATGATGATGGAGAAGAAGAAGAAGAAGGGATGCGTGTAACGATCTTTTTGTTTTTCTTGGATTGCTTTGCTTTGCTTTGTTTAGTTTGCGATGGATACGGATTGTATACGATGATGCCTGCCTGATCAGGTACTGATACCGATACCGATACGATGATCCCCCCCCCCCCCCGCGGAAGCGATGAGATAGGAGGAAGACCGGCTACTGGCTAGCCACGACGAAAAACAGGACAGGATAAATTATATATATATATATATATATCTATAGATTGGAGTTGGATTCTGTATTGGCATTTGGAAAGCGCACGCATGTCTTACGGCTTTGTTTTGTTTTGGGTTTGGTTTGGTTGGGTTGGGTTGGGTTGGGTTGGGCTGGGTTTGGTTAGTGTTAGTTTAGTTTAGATAGACATGTAGACGATAAGTTCTAGGGTAGGTAGCAATCAGCATGACTACAATATGATAGTATAGTATTTATTATATTCTATTTAAGGCAATAAATAAATTGCTTCGTATCCGGGGAGGAGAAGTGAAGTGGTGCTTGTTGAGGTAAACAATGGATTGTTTGATTAATGAACACTTAAAAAAAATAAAATACAGTAGATTAGTATAAAATATATACCTACCTACTAGTACTTAGCAATGATAAGCAAGGGGTAAGGGGTAAGGGGTAAGGGGCAAGGGGTAAGGAGCAAGGAGCAAAGCTGGTAGATAGGTAGGTAGATAGATAGGTAGGTAGGTCAGTAAGTAAGTAAACATGTAGTAAGGTAAGGATATCACAATCACAATCACAATGACAGCACAGCACACACCCAAGCCAGAAAACCATTCATTCATCATCAATCATCGAGCCTCCTCTCTTCCTCTCTTCCTCTCTTCCTCTCTTCCTCTCTTCCTCTCTCCCTCTCTTCCTCTCTTCCTCTCTCCCTCTCTCCCTCTCCCACATCAAAGATAAAGTAATAGTAAACACAAGAATAACCAATTAACCAACCAGCCACCCATCCACCCACCCATCACCCCGATTACAAAACAAAATCCAAAGCAAGCCCAACTGGTATACCCATCCAGCCACCGAATAACAGTCAGAAAAAAACCCCCCCCCGAAAAGTGAAAGAGAAACATGTACAAGGCAGACGAGGAAGTATACAAAATAGGTACGGAGGATGAAATCGGTATGGAGTACAAGAAGTCAGTAATAAGTAAGAGGAGGTCAATAAGTAAGAGGTGGTGTGGAGAGAATAGATATGGTCATTGAGTGAGATTGAATCTGAGAATGGGTATTGATATTGACATTGATATTGCGATTGCGGATAGGAGAAGGGGAATAGGGAATGGAGAGGATAGTTAAGTGTGGATGGGTAGGTGGATGAATGGATGGACAAAAATGATACAGACGAGGAGGGAGGAAGGACTCCATCGTGGGTTTGTTGTATGTATGGCATGTAGACATGTAGGTATGTAGACGATAGGATATGATGGGACGGGAAGGGACGAGATGTAGAACTAGATAGGTAAGAGAGAGAGAATGTTACTTCCCCAACGCGATGCTATAATTCCACGAAGGATCATTATGCATTGCAGGGCTGAGTGCCTGATCGGGGTCCAGCCAAGGCGCAGGACCCGGCGAGGTAGTATATTTCTTATCATAATCCAGATCCGCATCGCTCGCATAGACATAATTGTCCATGCAATGCGGATCAGGTAAGCTGGTATCCGAAGCCGAAGCGGAGGGAGAAAGGCGCAGACTAGCGGGCCCACCCCCCGAGCTGGTGGAGGAATATTCCGCGCCGGTCAGACTATTTGGCGATGGAGAACGCGGGGCGGGGGGTCCCGTGCGTGGCACGACGAGGTTGTTGGATGAGGACTCTGCCTCGGCGAGTGTCGCGAGACGGAGCCGGTTTTGGGACTTGGGGACGTGGCATTGCAGGTTGGAGGTACAGTGGAGGGTTGCCGCGCCGTCGAGTTTCTGGAGAGCCTGGGCGAAGTGTTGTTCGACCTGGAAGGCGGACGGGCGGTCGTAGGGGTCTTTGTTCAGCATGGTTCGCACGACAGCGAGCATGGGGCGGACGGCCTGGAAGATGGGGTCTTTGTGTTTCTTGGCGTCGCTGTCGAGGGAAGTGATCCACGAGCTGACCTGGCCGGCGTTGCGGTCGAGGTGGAAGGAGCAGTCGGCGACGCCGCCGCCGCGGCCAGCGGTGCGGTTTTTGGCGCCGCGGTGGTGGGCGAAGGCGGACAGCTTGCGCTTGCAGAGATGGGTGAAGATGTCGAGGATGACGGCGCCGAGGGAGAACAGGTCCGATGCCTCGGGGTCGGTTTGACGTGTCTGCCACGTGTGGACGATGGCTGCGTTGGAGCCGATGATGGGGTATCCGTAGCTGCTTGCGGTGGCGTTGGAGGATCCCGATGAGTTGGAGGACATGATGGATGGGGTGTAGAACATGGGTCGTTTCATGGATGATATAACGCGCTTGCGGGCGCTTCCATTGCTGGATCCGGAGGAAGAGGAGTTGGTGAACGACACTCGAGAGGGCGAGCCCCGAAGACCTATGCGGATGGCGGTTCCCTGCGACGTCACGGAGTCGGCGCGCGGAGCCTCGGACTCTTGATCGGATGGCTGAGAGCTCCGGAACCTGGCGAGGCTCAGCATCGGCGGGCGCGAGGATTGTTTGCGAGCCGAACGCCCTCCAGAGGGGAGGGCAAGAGTGGCACGCGGTGCACTCGTGTCCTGGATGGAAATTGAACGCACCCAGCGTTCTGGGGCGCCGTACTGGTAGGATTCGACGTCGTCCAGCTTGACCGGAGATAGAAGCGTGTCGAGCGCCTCGTACTGGCCCAGGAAGATCCGAAACTCCCCATCCACCATGATGTTTGATGGGCGTATTAGACTGTGGGGTTGGCTGTGTGCATGCAGCCACGATAGCGCATTGGCCAGACAGTGGGGCCAGTTGACCAGGATTTCTCGACGCTTGCTCTTTTCCAGCTTCTTAAAGGCCTGGGGCTGGTCGGTAAGGAAAGACATCAGGGTGCGTTCGTACACGCCCGAAAACAGAATGCAGATGGAATTGTCCACGAAGTACGACGCATAGATGGAGTAGATGTGATCGTGGGACAGCCTCCTCAAGGAGCGAATCTCCTCAAGGACCTCATTTTCCTCGAAGAAATGCGGCGCACCCCCTATCGACACTTGTGTCCGCAGAAGCACACGGCTCTTGGCCCCGGCCACGACGACCTTTTCCACGCCCTCCCTCACCAAGGCGTTCCCAGTCCGAAGCAGCTCCACGGGCACGCCTTCATTCTGGGTGTACTTGACGTGGCCCCCCTCGCTGATCCCACGCACGGTGAACCGCCATTGGGCGAGGAAGAACTTGTTGGCAAGGTCGGGATTCTCACCCTCGGAGGTGAGAGGGAGACGAGCGGCGCTGGGGGCCGAGAAGGGCAGATCCGTGTCGTCCAGCGACTCGTCCACCAGGGCGAAGATGCGGTCCGGGACGCCGATGTCAACGAGGATCAGATAGAGGCGACCCGCCTTGGCAAGGATCCAGTCGAGGTAGGATTCGCTGGTCAGGCCCTCTCCCCAGGGCAACGGGGCGACGAGACGGTGGAGGATGCTGGACGGAAGATGGTTGAAGATGTATTCGGGGGTCAGGGTGGCCTTTACTCGATCCTCTGGCCACCAGAGTGACGTGACGGCCGCCGACATTTCGCAGTCATGGCGATCTGGATCGAGAGGGGGCTCTTCCCCGCAGGCGGGCGCCGACATCTATTATAGCCACGGAAGGGGGGGGGCAAGGAGAGGGGGCGATGTATCGAAAGTAAGCCACAGGGCACCTAATCCTGGTCGGCCGCGAGTAGGACAGACTCCACGGACATGTCTCTTTGCGGATCGTAGCGAGCGGCTGTCATAAAAGGATGCCCGGACGAGGCAGTGGACAGGGAGGCAAAATAATTATAAACCTAAAGCCGGGGGATCGAAGGGGGAGGGGGGTCAATGGTTAATCGAGATAAATTGAGGCAAGAAAGGAAATTGTAATTAGGCCAATAAACATCAAACTTAATGGGGATAGATATCGGGGGAATACAGGCGGCGGAGGGCCTAACCGGTGGTGGACACGAGGCTTATCAAGTCCTCAAGCCCCCCCCCCCTCAGCAAGGGATACCCATGGCATTATTGGCAGGGCTCCAATCAATAGTGGTACTTGCGGATGGAGGCAGCCAGGTACTTTTCTTTCGTTCTGTTCCACGGGGTTCCGAGTAACACGCTCACGATATCAGCCGGGCAGGCATGGCCCATGGGACCTTCTTCAGCGCGCAAAAGGAACGCGCACACGAAAAAGAAAATAGACCTCCCGAAGAACCATGTTTAGCCAAGGCACTAGACTAGACTCAAGCTCGAGGACGAGTGGCAGGGATCTCCGAGAGCGTGGCAACGGTTCTGGAGGGGCGCGCTCCGACTGAAGGGGACTTGGCCCGCGAGCCAACAGGGCATCAGGGCCGTTGCTTGACTTTGCAGTGGGGGAGACGAGGAGTGGAGTGGAGTCATAGACTCATAGAGTTCGGAAGGGGGGAGCGGAGCTACCATCGTTCGAGCCATAGTTTCCATAGTTAGAGCGATGGGTCGGAGGCAGAGAGATCGGGGGGGAACGATTAGATACTCACGGGGCATTGGCAGTTCCGTCAGGAGTACGGACGTACGTACGTAGATAGTCGGGGAGTCAGGAGTTCCGGTAGCCTAGACGACTACTAGACTCCGGACGCGGTTAGTCTACGGAGAGAGATGTGGGATGTGGGATGTGGGATGAAGATTTCAAGATGATGATGAAGGAAGGAATGAAATGCCACGCGATAAGGAAAGAAAGCATGACTCCGGATCACGGGGCGCTCGCTCCCTTCTACCTGGTAATCATTCACCTCCCCTTCCAGGATGTCCTCCTAAATTTACCCAACATCCCAGCGAACTATTGACCCCCCTAGGGTACCTAAATATGACCACTGACATCTATCAAATCGATCAGTAACAATCCCTTTGTGATCCATCATCCTTCTGTCTGTCTGTCCCCTACCCCCGAGAAGGATTGCCCCCCCCGTCCACTGATCGTCGGGCGCATCTTTCTGATTTTATTTTAATAGAAGAAGAAAAAAAAAAAAAAAAAAGCAACCTGACGTGGCGCTAGAACCAGAACAGTCCCAGGCAAATAATAAATGGATGTGATTGTGGCAGACACTATCATCTGTGAATCTCTGGTTCACTTCAACCCTACAATAGCCACAGCAGCCACCACATTCCCATTCCCCATTTCCATCCCAGCGGGAAGCCCGGAACCGAGTTACTACTTACTCAGTACTCCGTACTCCGGACTCCGTACTACCTGGATAGATCGTAGGTATCTATCTAGTAGGATGCTGCGAGTTCCGCGCATGGTACTTCCCCATCCGGCGGCGGTCCTGTTCGTCATCCCTGCCTGTCTGGATTCAGGCTTATCAGTTGACGGTTTGACAGCGAGGTTTACTCATGGGATTGCCTCTGTTAGTCACGGCCGCCAAGATAAGCCATTCCTCAATTCACTCACTGCTGGCTGGCTGGCTACAGTTGCCTGTGCGGACACCCGTGAAGACGACCAGATACTACTACTTACTATGGACGGTAGGATTCGGCTCTTAGCATATAAGTATGTATGTAAAATGTTATTCTTATTATTCTTATTATGATCGCTGCTGGTAGCACAGCACAGCCAGAACCCCCAACTTTTGCAAGTACCCAGGTGTGGTCCGCGCGCCTCTCGTCCAAACAACCAAATTAATATTAATGGAGACTGACTCCGGAGTAAGTATCTAAGTACATCATATCTCCAACCCAAAGCAAAGGCACGACGTACATTAGCTCCAGTCATCGACAGTGTCAGGTAAAACAAGGACCAAAAAAATTCGCGTCGCGTCCTGCTTATCTCTCTCTCTCGGGGCTGCCACGGGATTCGCCGGTCCGCCCGGGGCATGTTCGGCCTTAGGCCCGGACTTGGGAATAGTAATAATCATAGTCACCTCTCCAGGTAAATAATAATAGGTAAATAATATAATAAATAGACTAGACATAAGTACGAAGTATCAACTGAACTGATAAAAGATTCTAGCGTGGCGCGCTTACATAGTTTGGTTCGGTTTTTTGGTTCAGCTTATCTATCTCTTCTCTCTCTCTTGAGCGGCGCGAGCCTTGTCCGTGCGTTTAGGTACTGTCTGTCTGTCTGTATGTATGTCTATCCAGTAGGTACTAGATACTCCGTAGTATCCACTGAATACTCTGTTCGATCGCGAACTGACTAAGACGTCATACAAATGGTTTGTTAGCCGACGGACCCTGACTCTTCAGAGTTCAGAGTTCAGACAAACGAACCCCTTCCAGTAGTTCCACCAGAAGACCCTTCTTCCTTGTTCCTTTGTTTCTTTGCAAGATGCTATCTACTCTCTCTCTCTCTCTCTCTCTCTCTATCTATCTAAACACGATAATCTACTAGGTAGTACGAGGTACCTAGGGTAAGATCGTACTCTAATCTAGACGAAACCAGATCAGATTGGTCGATTGGTTTCATATCGCCCATTTTTCAGTGCGAAGAAACAAAAATAAAAAAATAATAATAAAAAGAAAAGAGATGCTAGTAGGAATGTCATTTGCCTGTGCAAAAGAGCGAAAATTCATTGTTACTTTTTTTTTTCCCCTTCTTTTTTTTCTCTTTCTTTTGCAGTGTGCCCTTCCCCTTCCTTCAGGTGGGATGGCGTCGAGACTATTCCTGTGAATAATGTCTCCGGAGGTACGGTAGGTAGTGTACTCCGTAAATATGCATGTATGTATGTATTGGAAGATCGATAAGTAGTAGTCGGTAGGTAAGGTAAGGTAGGTAGGTATGTGCAGTCGGTCATGACCGTCAGTTGGATGCTCGGTGTTGGTCGGTTCGGTCGGTTCGCTGGTCAGTTCGGTCGTCAGTCGTCGGTAGTTGGTCAGTCAGTTGGTCGGTTGGATCGTCATTGAAGAACGATAAATAAACAGTAGGGTGAGCGAGTAAGTAGGTAAGTATGGACAAAAATAAAATCCAAAGTCCCAAGCTAGTCATCCCATGCATGAGGGAAGAATCTTCCTTCCACCCCCCATGCTATGGTCGCAGCCTCTTCTTCTTCTTCTTCTTCTTCATCTTTCTGGTGCCCCCCTTTCCCCAAATTAGGAAGAAGGTCCTGCAGAAGAGCTGATCATAATTAGAAATCGTCGTCAAGTCGTAAAAGTTTTCCCTTCCTTCCTGGCTTCGCATCGCATCAACCCCCTAACCTGACGGGAAAACCACCTGTCAGAAATGCTGACCATTTCATGACACCCCCACCCTTCTGCGTCCCCGGTAGGAAAACAACACTACCCAAGTACCGGTATGTATCCCTCTAACAAGCACATCCCCAAATCTATGACCCAATGCGCCGTATCCGGTGCAATCTGCTATTGGTCCGTTGTGTCGTGGCGACCGGTCGCGGCTGCTGATGATTTTGCTGATGATGGTCGTGTTGATGTTGTTGTTGTTGCTCCTCGTAGGATTTTCGTCGGATCCAGGATTTGCGAAAATGTTGCTGCTCTTCGTCTTGCTGTTTCGCTCGATGATGGATGAATTGCTCATGGGCCTCTTTTTCCTCGTGCAGGTCTTTGATCTGGTGGATGGTGTGTCAGTTATGCAGGTACATCCATACAACAGAAAAAGCAGAAGCCCTAAGTCGGATCCGTGGCTGGCTGGCTGGCTGGCTAGAGAGTCGAGGCGAGGCGAAGATGCACGGAAACGGAAAGAATATCAAAAAAAGGAAAATGCATGGAAAGGGAAATGCAGCATGCAGGCCAAAAAAAGAAAAAAGAAAACGAAAACCATGGCCTTTGGGGTGAAATGGGAAAGATAGGAAAGCGAGAGAGAGAGAGAGAGAGAGAGAGAGACATACATGAGCTAACCACAACTCCTGCTCAGAACTCCAGGCTTTCTGACATCTAGCGAGTTCGCTTCTCGCGATGGCCAGTTTCCGCTCCTGCTCCATCGTCCACCGACATCTGCCCCCGACCAGACTGGCCCAGCTGACGATGCGCACCAGCCTGGTCCTGCTGCTGGAGCTGCTGCTGCTGCTGCTGCTGCTGCTGCTGTGGCCCAGATCGGAGTCGTCACTGGGGCTCACCGCCATGTGGGCATCGTCCGTCAATGCGAAGGCATCGTCGGGATACTGCACGGCGTCGCTCCAGCGAATCTCCTCGATGGGCGGATCCAAGTCGATTTCTTTCCCCTTCCAGGTGGCTCGGTCGGTGCGTTTGGTGAACAGGGACAGGCCCAGGACATACTTGACCGGATTACTGACCCCCATGTGGTACATTTTTGCTGTTCTGTTCGGTCGTATTCCCTATGTGATGTGCTCTTGGTTGTTCACTGTTGACCGCTTTTTGAGTGAGCAAATGGAATGTGCAATACTGCTGCTGCCGCGGATGTAAGTATTGGTGTTGATGTTGGTGGTGGTGGTGATGATGATGATGATGTTGTTGTTGTTGCGGCTTGGGTAGGGAATACCGGCTGGCTTGCTTGCGGGCAGAAAACGTACACAGGCCATTTGGACATGCTTCTTATATATCATATCGCTACGGCAGCTCACCCTCCCTTCCCACGCTGAGGAGCGGCTAGGACGTCGGTTGCAGACAGGCAGACGCTGGGCCAGAAAATCCGGTTTTAGGCGCCATAAGAGACAACCCGACTTCAGGCCTCTAGGAATGGGGCTAGGCTCGTATGTCGCGTCTTCTGCTTGGCTGGGCGCTCCAATACCTGACGCCGTGCAGTCAGAACTACAATACTGTGTGCAGCCAGTGGGGTTCGTTCGATGGCCTCGATTCGATTCCATTGATTCATTCAGTCCAGGGAGAGGGAGTGTATCTATCGATCGCTTCCCCCCCCCTCATGCCCCCATGCTACCTACCTAATTTGGTGAGACGCACCCCGTGGAGCTAGAAACGTGGCACTGGGACTCAGTCAAGTCAGTCTTTGTCGAACACATCCAATCCATACAGGAACCGGTTCGAAACAATATTGAGCAGTGTTCGACCCGCGATGACGAGCATCCTGTTCCCATCCCTAAAGCAAACATTGATACAGCACGATCTCGTTCCATGGGAATCCGTCAAACTGTGCTTCGTCCATTGGTCTATACGGGGGGCTCTGATCAACTTCGAGGCCAGACCACTGCCTTCCAAACCGGACTGAAGGGAGCGAATTTCTCTCTTGCGCCAAAACAGGGGGGCAGATGTGATGCATACACCAATGATGACGTCGCATTTCCTCTCTCCAGATTATGAACGAGTACAGTAAAAAAAAAATCCGTCGGCAGCTGACTCGTCCAGATCCAATCAGATACAGCGAGTCCAAAACAAAAGAAACCAAGAGGGGGAATAGTACATGGTACACGGGACATGGTACACATAGACAAAAGTAGATGTAGATGCTATACAAGAAAGAACATAAGGCCAAAACGGGGAAGTGAGCCTGCCACCCAATGACCACCAGAATCCAAATCCATTGGTTCGCCACCCGTAAAGACCCGAAAACATGTACCCTGACAAACAAGAATAGAAGTCGTTACAGCGTGTGCTAGCCTATGCGCCAGCAAAGTCTTTGTTTCATAGAATTATCGTGCCGAGTTTAGGCGGCAGAGGCCAACCGACGTGCAGGTCTGAGAAGTCAGATGCGCCACGTCTCGTAGGCTGCGTCCCTGCTTCTCAGATGCCCTGCCCTCGGGCGATCATCGTGGAGCCTCTGCTTCCTTTCTTGCCTAATCTGTTCACCAATGATTATGCTGATCAGCCTTTTGTGCACGTCCGCCTCTGTCCAACTGATGTGGCCCGTTCCGCCTGCCTTAATGTCAGCCTGGGATAGCTGCTGCGCAAATCTGTCGATAATAGCAAATTGGAGCTCCGTGACAGGAACCCCATACACCCCATCGGACGTCCAAATCCAGTCTCCAATGATATCGGACCGGCCAGGGGCCGGGTGGTAGGGGAAGCGCTCAGGGTATAGTTTCGCCGAGCGGTAGAGACGATGCAGCAAGCGATAGTGATCATCAGAAAAGTAGTCGGGAGGGAACGCTGGTGATTGGCCTTTGGGCGTTTCATCCTCCGCGTTTTCCTCCTCCTTCTCTTCGGTGTCTTCCACTGAAGCCTCCTCATTTTCAACTAGTTGGAAAGACTTGGAGCTAGAGATACTCTGCTGTTCATCCTCTGGCTCCGCAAATTGGAGCGGTCGTGGTGTTTCGTCCTTGTCCTCCCAGTGAACGTCTTCATCGCCGTGTGTTGGCTGTACGGCGTGTAGCTTCTCATATTCGTCATCGTCCGAGCTATCCTCCCCCAATGACTCGTTATGGTTATTAGGCTTTGGTCTGAGCCATTGAGGTGTGAAGTTGGTGATCTTCTTGAACCAGGATGGCGCTGGATTATCATGGTTGGCAAGCCGTGGACGTTCGGGGGTGATGTCAGTTGTCTCTTGAACGGCATGCACCTCGGCTGCAGCGGCACTGGAAATACTTTCGACTTCGTCGGCTTCCAGAGTCAGTTCATGACGCAGTCTTTCCATTTCCAATCTAGTCGTCGGATCAATCTGAAACGTCTCATCGTCCGAGTATCGGCCAGGACTCGACTCCACGTAGCTCTCTGACTGCCGATCCTGGTCAGACACATGGGCATCGATGTCCTGTGGTTTCCGAAATGCTGGTGAGCGGCCCACAGTGCCCCCAGCCACACTGTCCAAGGGACTGCTTTTCCCGTAATAGTACTGATGGCGCTTTGGCGTATCCTGGGCACGGTACGCAGACGTCAAGTCAACGTCTTGCTCCCGTAATTGTTTAACTCTTGACCGGCCCAAAAACGGCACAATTTCCTGTTCGGTTGTCCAATGAGCGGGCGAGTAGATTTGGCCGTTCTGACGCCGAGCAGAGGTCCAGCCACCTTTCCAAGGGCTAGATTCGTCTTGCCTAGGTTGTGTGTCACTCTGGTCGTCTTCAACACTCTGTTCGTCTTGAAGCGGCGACAATTGATCTGAGTGGTTGCCCTGATTACGGGCCTCTTGCGGCCAGGTGTCTTCGTACCCGTCATCTTCATCTCCCTCATCCAGTGGCTGGGATTCTACGTGGGCGTCCTCGTTGGGAACGGATTCTGACTCGTAATCGAGCTCGTCCTCATGTTCACCCTCAAGCTCACCCTCGAACTCGCCCTCCAAGTCGCCCTCCAAGTCGCCTTCCAAGTCACCCTCAAGATCATCCTGAAAGTTGTCTTCCAGGTCGTCCTGTAAGTTGTCTTCAAGATCGTCTTGGAAATTGTCTTCAAAATCGTCCTCAAAATCGCCTTCTAATTGGCCCTCTTCCGCCCTGGCGCCGTCTTCGACAGATGGCTGATCATTCTCGTCACTGTTTATCACAATGATCTGGCTAGAATTTGCCATCTGGATCTCCCGGCTGATGGCTTCTCTCTCCCGCTGCCACTCCTCCATCTGCCGTCTCATGTGTGTGCCTGGGGTGTCGTGGTGGGCTGTCTTGTTCAGTTCTTTCTGGGGTGACTTAAATCCACTCACTCCCCTGTCTCCCCGGTACAAACTTTGTGTACTTGATTCTCTTTGTGCCCTGGTTTGTCTGGGTCTCTCTTTTTCTGCTTGTCTCCGCCTTTTAACGAGTGCATGTCCAAATGCCAAGCCAGCACGTAATTCTCGTTGTTGTTCAGGGGCGAAGTCGCGGAAAAGAAGCTCCAGTCGTTTTCTCGACGCGTCAAGCATTGAATCTTGGTCTCTCGAGGAGTTGCGTGCTGCCAAATCTAACCATAGGTCTGAGGAGGCTTTTTCTTTCTTTGAGTTCATGAGAGGCCCCTCAAGAGCAAGTCCAGCACGGACTATCCTAACAAGCCTGGATAATGGCCTTCGCGCTTGTCGAACAGAGGCTGTTGATAGTACAGTAGCCGATGGTTTGGGTACATTATGGGTATGTTCAAGCCGGCTGTTTGACCAACGATCTAGTGAGATATTTGATCCAGTGGCGTGAGGGGGAGGCGGACTGGGCGACTGTTCATCTATCGTAGAGCTCAGCTGTGTTTTTCGGATAGGTGCAGTCTCCCCGTGATCATGGCTGGTAGCCGATGCTCTTCGTTTCAACACTCCATTTGATTTTCGCTCTAAGAAGGGCCTAAGCGCACTTTTAGTAGCTTGGGAGTGGCTGTTCATATTGAGTTCATGCTGCTTGGCCGATGGTAGTGTATCCAGAGACACCATGCTAAAGCCCTCACTTTCCATAATGGAGTCAAACTCCCTGTGTTCGTCCGTTGGGTCATTTGTAGATTGGATCGCACTTGAACGGCGATTCATAACGGGAACTTCATTCGTCTCCTGAGACCGTTGTGTCTTCTCTTCTTCTGCTACCGATGAGGAGGTTGGTGTCGGGTAGATGCGTGGCGGTCTTGGAGTACGACCGGCGTGTAGTGTATTTTCGGAAGGGTTGGTCTGTATTTCGCGAACGGGTGATGGCATTTTGGATGGAGTTGAGTTCAAATTGTACTCATCGTTCTCTGCATAGCCTTGGTCCACGTTATCAACGTTCGGTGTGTCGAATGTCACGCGAGGAGAGCTTCGATCTAGGGCAGCCAGATCAAGGTCCTCCATCTGAACATCATTCGCAGGGGGTTCATCAATGTCCATAGCCTGGTCGCCGGCGTAATCATCGTCAGATCCTGCGTCCGCTCCAAGATTCAGAGGGCTCCAGTCGCGCGCGGGTTCAACGATGGGAGCTTCTTGAACGATATCTTGATCCATCGGCTGCTCGCCATTGTGCAGTATCTCCGGTTCCGGTTCGCTCTTCCTCGGTCGACCTCGTTTCCTCTTCTGTCCTGTACCTCCCGGACCCGGGGTGTGGCCCGGGCTGCCGGCGCGTGGAGTCGCATCCGGCATCATTGTGTCCGACTTCCTTGGGCGACCTCTGCGTCTTCGGGGGGTCTGTTCGGTATCATCTTTGAGGGGGACTTTCATTGTCGTGGTCGAGGGTTTTATGCGCTTGCGCGTCGGACTGCCTGGATTTGTTTCGTCGTCTTGTGTTGCTTCCAGTGTAACCCGAATCCTCCACGGGCTAACATTTCCGTCGGATTGAAGATTTTCGGGGGACAACACTCTCTGCTGCCCGTTCAGCTTCATTGTCGGGGAGGCAGGAAGAACGACATCGTTGAATTTGAAGGAGTGGGCACTTTTGGAAGGACTAAGGTTAATGCGCGACCGCCCTTTGCCCTTCGCGGTCCGCGGGCTTTGTAGGAGGCGGAAGTTGGCAGGCGACATGAAGCTTTGGCGACCGGAAAAGGGGATAAATGGAGAGGAGATTAAATAATCGACGTCGCCAGCTGGCCCAAGAATGTCCGGGGAGGAGCTAGGACTGCGGGAGGACATATCGCTATGCAAACAACGATGCGGCGCATGTGAGGGGCGACTTTTGACCCCCCGTCGCGTCTCATGGGGACGGGCCCGATGTGAATGACTTCGACGGCGTTGCTAGATAAACAGCACCATTTTGAGGGCAAACAAGCGTGTAGTTGTCAGGGTGCAGTGATCATTCCCTGGAGGAAATCTATATCATCCACAGTAGCTGCGTAATCGCGGGGAAAGTGAGTGAAGTCACTGCATAACATAAACAAGTCTCCCGATCAGGCAGGCCGAGCGACCGGGACAGGAGAGAATGCTTAGGTCATCCGGGCTGGTGGTTGTTCCGAGCCGGGATGTGCGGGAAAGCAAGTAAGCCCACATGGCAGTCCTATCAGTCTAGACTGTGGAGTATTTACAGCACCTCCCCGGAATGCACTTCTTTTCCCAGTGCCGTGACTGTTCCTGACAGCCGATGGCACTCCGTACATAGTACTTTTATACATTTTCGTACCACTGGCTCCGAACATGATGATCTCTTAACCCTCAGTCTGTCGAAGTGCGCGAACAGTGGAAAGCCTCAGGATCGACAGGCCGGTTGCCTTCCCCGCAACTTCTGGCCGTCCCCCACCGGAACTGCCCCGAAGCAGCCTAGCGCTATTCCCGGTGGCTGCGCGAGTGCCTTCCACTTCCCGTGGCTTCATCTGCACGACGGAATACTGGAATAAGGAGACCACCCGCCAACACGGTCTCACCACCACCACAGGACGCCATTGATCCTTGCCCTTTGACCTCCCTTTATCCGATCACTTACTTCGACTTGCGGTCAGGCTGTGGTCAGACGCGGCCCAACATCTTCCGCCCAGCCTCGATTCGCCCAGCCCCGGAGCTTCTGTCCACGGCAACGCGGGACTAGTGAAGCTCCCCACGCTTACTGGCATCAGACCCCTGGCACGACCACCTCAATTCCACCCTTGGTGAGATGACGCATTCCCTCGGATAATTTGGCAATGAGCTAAACATGAACTAACTAGGCAATTAGCTGCATTCCTACCCCAGTTCTTGCGTCCCTGCGTCTTGGTTTCCCCGCCCTCTGGTCAGGCGCACCATCATGAGGTGAATGCCAAACAAAAGTCTGGAGCAAATAAATAGTATGGGGCGCTCCCCCAGATCCGGTCAGGGACTTCCCCAGTTTCTCGGCTGCTTCCGTTCCCTGCTCCTCCCTGCCCGGATCACACCGCGGGTCTTGTTCGTATACTGCCTCATCTTCCTTGCTACCATCATCTTCATAGGCATCAGGATGCATTTCAGAACCACTCTTTCTTCTGTCCTCTACGGGATGCCCGCGCTGTCACAAATCGCATCTGTGTCGGCCGCGGCCACCGCAGACCCTTTCCGCCTCTACACCATCAGCGCAGAAAACATCACTGCCAAGCTCATCCCATATGGGGCACGCTTGACCTCTCTGCTCGTGCCTGACCGCGACGGCAACCTACAGGATGTTGTCGTAGGCTATGATGACCCCAAGCAGTACCTCATCGACACCGAAACAAATCACACTTACTTCGGTGCGGTTGTCGGTCGGTATGCCAATCGTATTAAGAATGGCACTTTCGATATTGGCACTTCTGTGTACCATATCCCTGAAAACGAGAACGGTGGCGAAGACACGCTCCACGGTGGCTGGGTGGGTTATGACCAGCGTAACTGGACAGTCACCTCGTACACCAACTCCTCCATCACTTTCAGTTTCGTTGATCGTGGACTGGAGGGCTTCCCCGGAGACGTTGTCACCCATGCCACGTTCAGCGTTCAGACTGAAACCACCACCGAGAACCCCAGGGGTCTCCCTCAGTTGACTACCAAACTCGTGTCCCTGGCCCTGACCGAGACGACGCCCATCATGCTTGCCAACCACATCTACTGGAACTTGAATGCCTTCAAAGACGAGACAGTCCTGAATGACACCTGGCTACAGCTCCCGCTGTCCAGACGGTTCATCGGCTCAAACGGAATCTTGATTCCCAACGGCACCATCCTAGATGTGAGCGCCTACGACGGCGCTACCGACTTCACCACCGGAAAGCTTGTGGGCGAGGACATCGAATCTGCAGATGGTCTATGCGGAACCGACTGCACCGGATACGACACTTGCTTCATCGTGGACCGTCCCCCTCAGTATGCTGCTCGCAACTCTATTGTTCCCATTGTCCACATGAACTCCAGCACCACCGGTATCAGCCTCGACGTCGCCACGAACCAGCAGGCACTCCAGATCTACTCCTGCAATGGCCAGAACGGCACCATCCCCGTCAAGCAATCCCAGATCAAGCGCAACCAGGAGGAGGGAATCGACGGAGCTGAGTACGTCAACAAGTATGGCTGCATTGTCATTGAGACGGAGGGTTGGATCGACGCCATCAACCAGCCCCAGTGGGGTCAGCTCTCCGATCAGATCTATTCCCCCGAGACCGGCCCTGCCGTCAACTGGGCTACCTACCAGTTCGGTACTATCTAGTCCACGAGTTGCATGCAGCTTGAATTCTCGCCCTGGTTGGCCATCTAGCTGGTTCTTGGGCTCATGCTTTCCATGAAGTTGATTTTGGTTTTCTCGCCTCTTAAAATCCCTCCTTGTAAATTCCGCGGCCGTGTACATACATACTGTGATACGTCACGTCAACTTTGACATGGGACGTGCACAAGCTTCTACGTTGAACGTGATCGCTAGGAATCTAATTTAACAAAGTTTGAAACTCGAAATTCTCAGTCATTCTGCTTTAAAGATTCTAGCGGGTATCGTATCTACTGCTAACTGTTTTGACAACCTCATTAAGGACAAAACCACAGGGTATTTCAGAAGACGGGACAACAAGAAAACAGGAATGCCTTCTCCTACAGTCCCAGACATGATTTAGGGGAAAAAAACGAAGTGTATGCATAGATGGTATCCAAATCATCCCCAGCCGGCTAAAGTCCAGCTAGACCGGTCGCCTCCGGTGCGTAGCCCGGATCGTCTATCAGGAGCATGGCCATGAGTCTCCAAATCTCGGCTAGCACCCGCCAGACCGTGCTGTAGGTACTTCTCTCGCTCAATCTCGACTAATCCTCGGGTTTTGAGACTGGTGAGCAGACTGGCTCCGGCCCAGGAACCCAGGGATTCGACTTCCCGGAAGACGCCCTGGACGGGTGGTACGGTGTCCTTGTCTTTGTTGTTACGACGGATCTTCTGCTCAATAGGGTCGATTTCCTCTTCGTCTTGTGTTTCTGAGGTAGATGTTTCCGTGGGGGATTTCGGAGAATCGGGCGAGACCTCGGGTGTCAAGTCAGCGGGAGGAGGTGCTTGCGAAAGTCGCAGGGTCTGGAGCCTCTGTCGTTGTTGTTCGATAACCTTTCCACGGACAGGTGACCAGCCATGCTGCTGGACTAGGAACGCCACCTCGTTGAGAATGCGCTGTCGGATCCCTGGGATATTCGAACCTCCACCAATGAAGATGATGCGCGACATACACGTGCCGCGGACATCGGGCGGTAAACTTAGGAGGGTGTTGTACACCAGGAGCGGCAGTGGCTTTTCCTCGTCGTCCAGCTCACAGTCTGGTACACCTTTTGCGAAAAGAACTCCTTCCACCGGTTCTGTGAGTTTCGAGTATGGGATGTCGATGTAGGCCGTACCAGGGGCCGACGGGGAAGGTAGCGACACTATTTCATCGGAGACCGAAGCAAGGCCCTGGTTTGCCGTGTCGACATCGCTCTCTTGAGGCTCTGCTACTTGCTGCTGCGATGGACCCAATGAGCCTTTGGGAGACACTGTGGGCTGACACCATAAGAAGCGACTGGCAACTTCTTCGCAAAGATCAAAATTGACGGCAATTTCGTCGCCTGGTTGCGAGGCTGCGCTGTTGTTGGAAAGCCGCGTAAGCAGTCGCCCTGTGTCCTGCAGCAGCAACTTCATTGCCCTCGTACTGCGTTTCAACGATATCTCCCTGTATTCGTAGACCCCGGTCACGACCGTTTCTGACCATCCAATGTCCACCACCAAAGCTGAGCGCATCCCAGCTGCGATCACGGCCATAGGTGCGGTGGTCAGGAGGGTGATACTCGGAAACCGCCAGCGGCTGAAAAGAGTCGACAGAAGTGAAGACAACAGCGGATGTGGCATGATTGATGGTAGCACTAGGACCAGTCGCGATGTCCCCGCGTCTGTCAATAGGTACTTGTTGTAGGTCTCTCGGAACATGCGCTCGATCTTGTCTTCAATGAGACCCAATTCCATGTCGCGAACGTTCATCTTCCAGAGTTCGTATGCGCCAGTCCATTCCTCTGCCTTCACTGATGGCGGCTCTGTGCCATGGCTGTTTCTCAGCCAGCCTCTGTAGTCGCCGACCCTCCTGGACTCTTCTGGGCCACATCCAACAACGCACATCGGGGAGCTCTCGCCCTCAAATCCAGCCCGAAGCCATCTGGAACCAAACTCGAATATGATCGCATCTTCCTCCCCGCGAAACGACGTGCTCGCAGACGAACTGCTTGCAAAGGAGGAATTGTTGGAGCGGAGGTGGTGTTGGGGCGTATGGGGCGATGACGGTCCCCCAGACTGGCTGTGACGGAAACTCATGGAGATAGGGCGCTTATCGTCAAAAGCGAAGGAAGAGGAGGCGCTGGTCATGTCTTTGCGAGAGCGGGTTGCTGGGATGGGTGTCGTGTTCGCAGTCCAGTTCAATGCGCGGGGAAGGTTCGGAGACGGAGGATCGATTGCTTCGTGGGCCACGCGCAGGTCATACTTCCTCTCCACAGAAATGTCTGTGTCGAGTAGCTTCAGATCATCCCTGTGACCGATAGGGGCTCGTAGACGCAACAATTGCCAGTTTGGGGCGATTGGCAATTGCTCGAAGGCCAAAGGGAAGCCGCGACAAGCTGCGGCTCCGGCGGGCGGATCTACATCGGGCCGCGTCGCCCACGCCGACGTCAACAAAACAACACTGCGAACTCACTCTCCAACCACTTGGACGTCGGCGCGGTCTGGTCTTGAGGACGCTGTGGACTTGGTATCTTGGATGTCACCTTTTGGAAGGTTGACAAGCTGTCCGAATGGGTATTCCGGGGTAAGTGGGCCAGTTTCAGGTGATGCTGCTCGTTGTCTCGGGAGAAGAAATATATCTCTCCCTTTGCAGGAGACACATCAATTAAGCAGATCAAGGGCTAATATGACCAAGGCTCATCCATGCGATTGGCGCTGGAGAACGCATTTCCCTGTCTAAATTGGCCATAACGCACCTGCAACGCACACATCGCCCGATTCGTGTCGCTGTTGATATTTCGATATGGCTCTTTCAAGTGCAGGCCGGTCGAGGCGGCAGAAACCCGGAACTCCGCACGCTGTTCTACAGGCTGTTGAAAATCTTGGCGCTCCCAATCCACCCTCTCTTTGTGTATGATGGGAAAAATAAACCGCCTTTCAAGAGAGGCAAGGCTGTATCGGGTCGCAGTTATGGAAGTGCACCAATCATTCGACTTTCGAAGATTCTGGTGGACTTGTTCAGGTTTCCTCGTCATGAAGCGCCGGGAGAAGCTGAAGCTGAATGCGCAAAGTTGCAAAGAACTGGAGTTGTTGATGCGGTCATGAGCAATGACGTCGATGCGTTGATGTTTGGATCAACATTTACCATTATGAACTTCTCAAAGGAAAGTGGTAGTGGTACCGCAGCGGCGACACATGTCACTTGTTACAGCATGGATGGCTCAGGAGAGCCATCCAGGGTGATGCTTGATCGTGCAGGCATGATCTTGTTTGCCATGCTGAGTGGAGGTGACTACTTGCCGTCGGGAGTTCCCAAATGTGGTAGCAAGCTGGCAGGAGAAATTGCAAAAGCTGGTTTCGGTGCCGATCTTCTTGAAATACTTGACTCGGAGGGCGATGAGCTCGATACAAAATTGGGCGAATGGAGAGAAAGGCTCCAGTATGAGCTGGAAGAAAACGAAAGCGGCTATTTCCAGACCAAACATAAAGTTGTCCGAGTCCCAGAGACATTCCCTGACAGAACGCTTTTGTCATATTACGCCAAGCCTGTGGTATCAAAGACGAGGGACATAGAAGCTCTTCAAGAGCGTCTAGTGGATGCCTGGGACAAGGAAATTGATGTCGTGGAACTCAGGAGATTTACCGCCGATTCTTTTGAATGGAATTATCGCTCTGGGGCAAGGAAAGTGACAAGGTTGCTCGCAGAACCGCTCATCTCTTACCGACTCCGCCTTGGACGACAAGCATCAGCCTTCCCTCAGAATTCCCCTAGGCTATCCAACAGCAACGTGCCAATGCTGCAAAAAGTCTACAAGAGTCGATCAAGCTATAGTACTGATGGCATGACAGAAATTCAGGTTGACATGATACCTGTTGACGTCGTTGGTTTTGACATACTTTCCGATGAACCGAACCCTCCACTTCCTTCCCAAGAATCAACGGTATCAGGAGATGAGGAAGAAGAGGAACCAGAGAACAATGCAGAACCCGTCCTTCAGTCTCCAACCAAGAAGCGTGTCACCAAGCGGTATGATCCTTATGCTTCGGAGAAGTTGTGGGTCTTCGAAACCCTGGCCACGATAGGGATTCCAGAAGTTGTGGCAAATTGGAAAAAGGAGCAGGCTGAGAAGGCAGCGCCGAAGAAGCCAACTGCTCGGAAGACAGGCCCCAGGAAGAAGGGACCAATCGACCCGGGCATGAAGCGGGGTAGCATATTGAAGTATGGCACTCTTACAAAGGAGCGCTCTGAAATCTCTGGCCAAAAGAGCGCACAGCTCCTCGAGGCCGCAATCTCTGCAAAGTCACCTGCGGAGCCTAGCTTGTCGAATTACAGTCAGTCTCCAGACTTTCCCAGCCATTCACCAACTTCTAACCCATTTACTTAACAGTATCCATCGACTGACCAGTGCAATGATCCTACAGCTTTTGATGACTTGATTGACCAATTTTCGTCATTAAGTCATGAAGCACCTAGCGGAAATACTAAACCGCAGCCTAAATTCGAACGTCACCGTGTCACAGGCGGATGCGGGCCGTCCTCCACAGATGAGGTTGATAACGAGGTATCGGGGTTCTCTGGAGCAGATGGTTTATCCGATCTATTGCCTTCTTCTAGTTCGAGGAAAACTAGAACAAGTTCGAAACAGAATAGCCAAAGGCCAGCTACAAATAGTACGAAGCACGCAACTCGTTCATTCGCCAGCCATCAAGACGCATTGGAATCTCCTGAGAACCGGCCTCGACCTCAGAAGTCATCTCAGGTCGAAGAACTAGAACAAGCAATTTCCTCGATCGCATTAGATAATACCGTGCCTTGCAAATCGACAAAGAAATCTGCTTCCTCGACAAAGCCCCCGACTGGGAGAAAGTCTTCCAGAAAGAAAGCGGATACCACCAAACCCAATCTTGCGGAGTCGAAACCCCACACGATCCATTCTCTGCTATCGGACGAAGAGGACTATCCTATTTCCAATTGCAAAGAAAGCGATGATGCTGCGTACTCGGCGCAACGACGAAGAGGAACCTCCGAAGGAAAGAAAACAGTTAGAACAAGCAAAATTGAAGCACCAGGATCCAAGCCCGTGGATCCCAAGGTATCAAGCGATTCCCGAACGACAACAACACACGTGGAATCCGTCATTGTACACAATGGATATTGGACGATAGACACCACCACCACCACCACCACCACCACCACCACCGAACCTGAGCAGGCCTCAGACGAATCGACAGAAGCCACTACTAGCATGGGAGACAATACGGGGAATCGCAGCAAAAAGAAGCGGATTCCCCGTGTGAGCATTCTGGACTTGAGCTAGGAATTTACACTACGCATGGGCTTGGGGGATACTATACCTTCCCGGTCCAATCGATTGCTATTTTGACCTCATTGGCGAAGCATTACAGGCGTTGAAGACTTACTTGTGGTTAAACGGGCAATACCACTCATAATATCAATACCAATTGCACAGGACCATATCATATCATATCATATCGCTGAGACGGTTTACTTCTTTCTTTCTATTAGGAGGGGACTGTGATTAGCCTATGTGTATAGATTTGCAAGCGCCGAAAGCCACGCCGATCCAGGATATCTGATTCATGAAAGAAAAATGACCTTTCGGGGGCGAAGACGAGATTTTCTGTGGGTCCTTTATTCATCATTACATTTGTGGACCGCGCAGGAATCAGGAAGAAGGGTGAGGTTAGGGTAGTAGTAGAGGAGAGTGAGTAGTGACATTGGGTAGTAGGTAGTTGGTGTATGTGTAATGGGGAATGGGAAATGACGGGGCTAAACAGAAAGAAATGTGTCAAAAGATGGACGGGTACTGCGCTTCTCGAATTCGTTGTCAAAGTCTTTGGGTTGGCAGAAAATAGGCAAGGTACAATGTACTGAAGGGGGGGGGGGGGGGGGTTGTAGGGTAAACAACAAGGCGAATAAGGGCAGGGGAAGGGAATCAAAAGCAAATGTATTTATCGAAGGGTATACACGACCGCTAGACATCAGCCGAAAATCTTCAAAAAGCCCCACAGACCGATACCACTGAGGATAGGTATTGTGAGGTTATCGTCCATGCCGAAAATATCCACGAACTCGCTTCCAGCAGCCACCAGACCGGAGACGATGCTCATGACGCCGAGGGCGAACGGGCCCGAGATGATAGCGCTGGATGTGTCCGCGGTCCAACCGATGAGGTTCTTGAATGAGTCCGGGATAAGGTTGAGTTGGCCAGTAAACATGAACGAGCCTTCGGGATCATTGGGGAACGTCCCGATGTAGGGTACAAAGTAGCCCCAGAACGCGGCGGCGGTGATGACGCCAACGAGCCAGGCGCTCAGCGTACCGGCAAAACTCTTGCCTTTGCGCAGTTGGAATGTGTGGCGGCCGTAGAGACGGCCGAATGTAGAGGCTGCAGTATCGCACCAGCTCAGCAGCAGCACGCTCATGACTCCAATGTCCTTGGGGAGGAAGCGCAACACGGTGTATGCGCCCACAAGGTACCAGATCACACCGTTGTATCCGGAGACCTCCGTTTCGCGCATGAGCGCGCCAACGCAACGGATGTACAAGTTGTTTACTGTCTCGGATTGGTGGCGGACTATATCGATTGTGGCAATTGGTACGAGAGCTCCGAACAGCCACGGGGTGATCTGGAGGGGTTGTATGCCGCGTCTGTAGAGGTGGAGGGTCAGGAAGCCGATGGATACATGGAGGAGCTTGCGCGGGATCTCATGGCGATGGATGAAGCTGCGGTAACGGCCGTGGAGAGGTATAAGACCGAGGGGAGAAGGGGATCGAGAGATGTCGGGCCAACCGCCGCCGGGTTTCGTGAGCGGCGATAGATACCCGTTGGACGACGCTGTATGGCCGTTTGTCTGGGCCTTGGGCTTGCCGGCCGGCATCTTCGGGCGAGATCTTCGATTACGGCGCCGGGTAGACTCTGGAGAGCCGGTTGGGCTGCGAGATCGCGCGCGCGAACGCTCCTTGTCCGAGTCTGCACCATCTTTTTCTTCCTCCGTCACCTCTCCCAGTCGCTGTCGTCGCCGCGCTGCGGAGCGCGTCGTGGGTCCGAAGTAGTCTCGTGAGCTTGACCTCCGTTCTGATGAAGCGGGCGACGGAGGGATGACTCGAGGAGTCTCCGGTATGGCGTCTTGGTTGGAAGGCATGTCGACTGCGCGGATGGAGAAAGGCGGAAGAGCCGGGGCTTGGATCAGCCCGGATAGCGGCCGTGGGGAGGTGATAAGGGTGGGGGAGGAGCACGCGCCGAAGCTGGATGGACTGAGTGCAGTGAGCGACGCAATATTGGGCAAATGGTTTCGATGGAGGGTAGTAGGATGTGGATGCAAGGCTCGAGTAGGGTCGTAGTATGTATGTACTAGGCAGAAACACCGTCACGCATGACGTTCCACGTTTAGTCGAGAATCGGCATAGGCCCCCAAAAGGTCGCGGGAAGGCACAACGAGGAATGGCAAGGTATTATGGCACAGGTGAGCTGTATCTGCGACAGAAGGAGGTCATGCGACTAGGATGTCGATGCTTGTTGACAAGTTGACAAGTTAAGGCTGGGCCGAACTTTCAGCTGGACGGTCAGGATTCCTTCTTCTTCCGCCGAATCCGCGGCCCCGTCACGTGCGGCGGCAGGGCGCGCTCACCGCCCTCGATATCTAATCGTCGCGCTTCCGATAAGGAAAAAAAATGAAGAGCAAAAATTCCAGGATCGAGGCTCCACGGCGGCACGGCGCAGCTTCCATTGTTCGAGTCGCATCGAATCTGACAAGAGACTGACCAACCGGAGAGTCGCAACTTACACACATATCGAACAATGGCCCCCAAACCGCCCCCTGGCACATCCGCCAGAGCCTGGGACGGAGTGACGCCCGCTCTGTCGGATTGGGTTCTCGATGCTGTTGCCTCCATGGGGTTCACGCGCATGACCCCCGTCCAAGCATCGGCCATTCCTCTTTTCATGGCGCATAAGGATGTCGTGGTGGAGGCGGTCACAGGCAGTGGGAAGACCCTTTCCTTCTTGATCCCGGTGGTCGAAAAGCTTTTGCGCCTGGAAGAGCCGCTGAAGAAGCACCATGTTGGCTCCATCATCATTTCTCCTACGAGGTTAGCGGACCCGTAGGGAAGGAACGAATCCTGTTACCAGAGCTGACTTCTCTATCTAGAGAACTTGCCACGCAGATTTATACCGTGTTGACGTCCTTGCTTGCTTTCCACCCCCCCTCTGCTGCAGCCATCAACCCCCCCGAAGACGGCGATGCGCCCCGTCAAAAACACACCTCCTCTACCCTCAAAGTCGTCCCCCAACTTCTCCTCGGCGGCTCGACATCCCCGGCGGAAGATCTCAGTGCTTTCCTCAAGAACTCGCCGAACTTGTTGGTGGCTACCCCGGGCCGGCTGCTAGAGTTACTCTCCTCGCCCCACGTTCACTGCCCCCAGTCGTCTTTCGAAATGCTAGTCATGGACGAAGCAGACAGACTGCTTGATCTTGGTTTCAAGGATACTTTGCAGAATATCTTGCGTCGTCTGCCTAAGCAACGGCGGACAGGTCTGTTCAGTGCCAGCGTCAGTGAGGCTGTTGATCAGATCGTCCGAGTTGGTCTGCGCAACCCCGTCAAGGTTATGGTCAAAGTAAAGGGCACTTCGGGTGTTCAGGACAAGCGTACTCCTGCCAGGTTTGTCCATCCGCCCGTTGTACTGTTTAAGCATCGGGTTGCTAATATGTCTTGAAACAGTCTACAGATGACTTACCTTGCAACCCCCCCTCAGCACAAATTTTCCGCCCTCAAAAACATCCTTTACTCCGTGGAGCCCACTCCTCAAAAAACCATATTCTTCGTCTCGACATGCTCGGGCGTGGACTACCTTTCCGGAATCCTGCCCTCTATGTTGGGCGAGGATTTCCAGTTAATACCGTTGCATGGTAAACACCAAGCAAACGTCCGCGAAAAGAACTTCAACCGCTTCGTCAACTCCCACACTCCCGCCATTCTCCTCACCACCGATGTCGCCTCTCGTGGACTGGATATTCCTTCCGTCGACGTTGTCGTCCAGATCGACCCCCCCTCCGATCCGAAGACATTCATCCACAGATGCGGCCGTGCCGGACGAGCCGGCCGCAAAGGGCTGAGTGTCGTCCTGCTTCACCCAGGACGCGAGGAAGACTACGTGAATTTCCTCGAAGTCCGCAAAACCCCCGTCTCACCATACCCCCGAATCCTCAACTTTTCCGAAGCGGACGCCACGGCAGCCACGGCCGCGGCTCGCAAAGCCGTGCTCGCAGATCGGACCCTCCACGACCGTGGCCAGAAGGCCTTTGTCAGCTGGTTCAGAAGTTACAGCAAGCACCAAGCGAGCAGTATCTTCCGCGTCGCCGATCTGGACTGGGAAGCGCTCGGCAAAGCATGGGGACTGCTGAAGCTGCCCAAGATGCCCGAACTCAGGAATTTCGAAGGCGACCGGTCCCTTGGCGTCAGCCTGGACTGGGAAAACTACACATATAAGGACAAACAGCGGGAGAAGCGCCGCAAGGAACAGCTCCAGGAAATGGCCCAGAATACCCCCGCGGAGGACCCATCCTCCGGCAAGAGACGGGCTAGTGAGAGCGTCGCGTGGAGCAGAAACCTCGACAACCGCAACAAGAAGCAGAAGCGCAGAGAGGCGAAGCACGAACGCCAGAAGCAAGACAGGTGGGAGAAGCTGACGGAGGAGGAGCGCAAGAAGATCACGGAAACCGAGCAGATGGTCGAACAGATCCGGGCAAAGAACGAGGAAGAACGACGGCTCAGACGGGCAGCCAAGGCCAACGAAGCCAAGGACAAGAAGGGCCCCGAAGATGAGGAATTCAACGGGTTTGATTGATATGATCCCACTCGCATACATGCTTGCATCCATGTCTAAATGAACATGCCTGTCTCGTCTCTTCTTGCCTCTGATACCATATACTACTATACTCTGTATCTATAGACTCTTTGCAATCTATATCCACTTCGAAGGGACAATCATCTATTTCTTTTCTCTTATTATGATACTCCCCTTCCAATACACAATTCATTGCCCACCCTTCGCCCCATCCTTCTTCCCACCCTCACCACCAGCCTCCCGAATCGGTGAACTCAACTCACTCGTCAAAAACTTCAACCAATCCTCCTCTCCAATACCCTCAAACGCTTCTTCCATGACCGTATCCAGACCCTGAATCCCAAAATCCCCCAACCCCCCAGAAGCACCAATAATCCCCTGAAACGAAGGAGCCATCAGCGCCGCAGGCGCAGCCGTAGCCATGATCCCCTCACCAGCAGCAGCACCACCACCAGCACCACCAGCAGCACCACCACCAGAAGCACCACCACCAACACCGGAAGCCACCACCCGATCTTCCTCCCTCTTCAACACACTAACACTATTATTATTCTGCCCCGGAAACGGCGAAGGCGACCTTATCATAAAGCGAGCAGCATCGATCTCCTCCGCTTTCAAACCACCAGGGTTTGTCAGATTGGCCGTGTTGTACATCCGCAGCGCCATGTCGTCGTCCAGCGGGGAGAAGAGCCCACAGCACGCGACGCAATGTCTCTGTCCGACGCCGCGAGCAATGAGCTGTTCGGGACAGACTTGGATCAGCGGCGCGGGGTTTTCGTTCGGCGATGGGTAGAGCACTGCCTTGGCGCAGGGTTGGACCAGTTGGAGGAAGTGGCAGGTGCAGGGCGGTTTGTTGGGCTTGTAGTAGCACATTTTTTTTTCTTGCCCTTTTCTTTTCTCTTGTTCTGATGATGATGATGATGATGATGATGATGATGAATTGGGGATCTTCGATCTGAGTGGGCTTTGAGAGGTGATGAGGATGTGTATGTGTGTATGTATGTGGATAGGTATGTCTCTAGATGGAATAGATGATGGGTGGTGGTAATGGCCTTATATGTAGTGGGCTTTGTTGGTTTCTTTGATGGGGGGGGTTGCTGCTATTTCTATCTCTTTGCTTTGAATGGGCATTGCTGTGATGTGAAGCTGGCCAGGCCTTTGTCTGTCTCCCTATTGTCGGGGACAATGACGGGTAGCATGGCGGCATCCTGGCTTTGATACTGTAGCAAAGAGTATCAACGATGCTTTTTGTTCGGGGTTTGTAGTGGCTTTGTCGAAGATCTCTTTTGCATGAAAGCTTTTGTCCGCGTAGTCAAGTTTCAGCCAAAGTTGTTTGAGGACGATGAAACAAAAGTATGATATTAAAGCACTCTTATTCGTCATTCGCTAAATGATACTCATACAAACAAACAAGGGCCTTCAATGCAAAACACCACATATGCTCTGCAAAACACCAGGGGAAGATAGCACCGCTGTTAATAACTCCCTCGGGTACACAGAATCCGCCACCCTTGAACAAAATCAACAATGCGAAACATAATCAGTCTGGGGCCCGCTAAGAACAAACACTAGACCACGCGGATGCAATTGGCCACAGTGTAAACAAACCAGTAGCAGGTGTGCAGATCTTAATACAACAAGATCCAAAGGCATCATCAACCCCAGGCAATGCAACGAGGCTAAACCAGCTTGACGGAGCCGAAGGTAAAACATATCCACAGTAACAAGGGCACAGAAACAACAGAGATAGCCTGCACCAACTATTAACAAATGCGACAACCCGGTTTATGCGAGAGTAGCTTCAGACATCCCCATTTCCAATTCGCGCTTGAATGCCTCCAGACCGGGAGTCCAAATGTTGTCATAAGCATAATCAACCACCGAGGGGTCCCAAACTTCATTCACAAATTCGATCGCCTCACGACTAAAGCCTTGCTCTTCATATGTCACGGGCTGAGGCCACTCAAGATCACGAAGGTCTCCAGATGGGCAATTTTCATAAAGCCACTGAGCCTCGCGAGCAAACTCATCATCACCAAAATCTTCAATGGGCCGATGCTCAGATTGAGGGGCTGGCACGGCTGCAGACGCAGGTACTGGAGTAGCTGCGACGGACATGGGAACCATGTCAGGTGTGGCTGTCAAAGGGCTTGAGTACCGGCTTGCAGTACGAAGGCCACTAGGGGTCTTAGGCTTGTATTTCTCTGCCTGAGAGCGAGCTCTGGCGAGGGCTTCATCGTCGATCTTCGCCGGTGTTGACGGAAGTGCAAAAGCGGGAGCTGGACGTGGAGTCGGACGGGGTTCCGGGGTTTGTGCGGCAACCGGAGTGGCAGTCTGCGGGCTGGGGGCAGACAAATTGGCTGCAGGAGATGCACCAGCGGATCCGCTTGATTCAGAGTCATCCGAAAAAGCATCGTAATCCAGTTGGAATGTACCCTGTGTGTTCGGGACAAAACCAGGGCGGCTTCGTGGATCTTCGACTTCAAGCGCTGGAGCGGGAGCAGAATCGGGGGCACGTGTTGGGGTCTCCGGAGTAGAGAGGGAGTTAGAGTCGCTGCCCATTCCAATGAAGTGTCTTCCTCGATACGGATCAGTCGCACGAGCACGCTGTCTGAGCTTGGATGGAGTGTTCTCTGGACTCGCGTCAAACCGGACTTTCTTTGATGACGGACGCTCCGAGCGAAGGGCACTGCGAACAGCTGTCTTGGCCAGGATCCCAGTTTTCTTTGGTTCAATTCGTGAAGAAGTTTCCTGCTCATCTTCACTTTCGGAGCTGTAGCAGAAGTAGTCCAAATCCATTCCATAGCTACATCCCGGCGGGTTGGGAATCACATCAGGCGACGGGGACCGCTTGCGCTTCTTTGGCGTTTCCTGTGCCTCGCTGGCCTGCTGAGAAGTAACCTCGCGTCCACGAGTTACACTTGCCTGGCTGTCTGAAACGGTGGGCTCTTGTGGTTTAGGCTCTTCCACTGACAGTGGCATTGGCAGTTCTTCAGTAGAACGAGATTCGGAAGGAGCAGAGGATGAGGTCGCTGGCTCCGTTTTAGAGATATTCTTGTTAGACGTATCCTTTTTGTAGATATCCCCAAGGTAAAGGGACCTGTCAATAGGTGTTGGGAAGAGAGACCAGGATCTGCGAGGTCGCTTCTTAGGCGGTTCCTCGCTGGGACTGCGACTGGTCTGCACTTGGTTTTCAGAGACGGTTGGTTGCGGCTGAGAAGATTGCGTGCGGAGTGTGCGGGTGATACGCTCGGAAGATGGTTGTGGGGGCACTGGCTCTGGTTAGATAGATGGACAGTGGTGAAAGAGAGGCAACATACCCGACACTTCAGCTCGTTCAGGACTTCCTCCGAAAGGGTGCAGAATCCGAGAGAAGCGGCGAGGTACAGAGTTGAGGAGGCCCCGGATATTCCAGCCCCTGTGAGTGCGCTCGGGAGTAGACGGTTGCTGGACTGTAGATAACTGTTCCGAAGACGAAGCAGCTGAGGTTTGGTTTTGTTCTACACCTCGGTTAGACGAGTGGTCCCCATCAATGGAGAAGTCAAACTTGGACTGTGGCGGTTGTGGGAATGGACTGGGAGAAGCAGATAACTCGGATGCCTGGCGCTGCCGATCAGCAGCCTGCTGATCGAGTAACTGTGACACGCGGAAAACGGTTGAATGGATACGGCCCTCTCGTTCGACCGCGCGGCGTCGTCGTCTCTCGGAGTGTGGCGCGATGTTCGCCGTCAAGGCACGGGGTCGAGTTGCAGGGCGATATGGGGTGCTTCCTGGGGGTCCAAGATTGCGGCGTTTGTTCGCCACGGGCGTCTCAGGCTCGGCCTCGTCGCTGATTTCCGAAATCGCGCGTTTCTTATTTGCTACGCGGCGCGTCAGCTTCTTTCTCTTGGCTTTCATTGTTTGTTTCCCTGGACTTCCCAGGGAGGACACCACGTTGGGGGCACCTGAGCCGGGGTCGGGACTTTCTTCCCGCAGCGGAGACAACACCTGGACCTCACGCCGCCTCTTTCGCAGGAAGTAGTCCCGAACCCCATCCTGAGGGGTCGAGGGGGCCTTGGCCACCCTCGCCAACTCAACCGACGCCGACGGCCCTTCCACAAGCTGTCCTGTGATGCGGTGAACATAGCTCGTGGAAGGGACCTGCTGAGCCCAATTCAAGGGCCCAGCAAGCTCTCCAGTCGGCGTGGGTGTCGACTCCATCAAAGGGACAGCCGCTTCATTAGACGAGCGAGGTGTAACACTGTCCAAAGACAATCCAGCGAAGGCTGAAATCAGCGCTTCAACCTGCTCGTCCTCCACGACTGCCTCTTCTCCGGAGTCCGCAACGGAGGCAGACTGCTCGGAGGATATCGAAGTGATGACTTCGGTCCTCCGCCATTCCATTGGCCCCGTCACGGTTTGTCCCGCAGGCGGCTCGAGGGTGCGGTCCCCCGCAACAGGAGTCGAAGTCGAGCGCTTATCGTTTCCCTCCGGAAACTCGATGTCGATAGCGCCTGACTCCTGTGCGGTGCGTGGTGCCAGGACTGCCTCGGTCTGATCCTCCGACGCCAATGATGGCGTTTTCGACCTCTCCGAAAGAGGTGAGCCAACACTGCTCAGGTCGTCGAGGAGAGGCTGCAGACACGAGACAGCCCAGGCTCCCCGGGAGTCCGGGGTGTCGTCCTCGTCGGCGTCCTTGGGGCTAGGGTCCATTGGGGAGGAGGCTGTGGGTTCCAAAGGGAGGGTCGACTCACATTCAGGGTCCGACTCCTTGGGCTCGGTTCTGGGGGGTTCAATGTTCTTCTCCGAATCATTGTTGTCGGCTTCCAATGTGCTCGGGACCGTTGCCTCTTCCTCATGATGGGTTTGTACATCTTCGTCAGACGCCGCTTTATCCGCGTTGCGGGTTGACCGGCGCGTCGTGCGCTTAGTAGAGGTGGCCTTGCGCGACTGGGCCTTGGTGGTGGATTTCTTCGCGGTACTATCGCCCTTTTTAGTTGCGCGTTGGGACTTCGCACGGGTCGCATACTGCGATGAGGTTGCTGAGATTGTGGCATCCTGCTGTGTGTTGCTTCTTGTGGACCTAGTCCGACGAGGAACACGATCATCATCGAGTGACACCAGGCCACCAGGGGACGCTTGCTGCGAACGGGTGCGCATCGTGACTGTGTGCGTTGAGATATGGAAGAGAAAAGTTCGATGTGAGGGGTGCAACACGGCACCGTAACGATTTCCGACTTACAAAGTACGTCAAGCCTCAAGGAGATCAAGTCTCTGGGCGAGGAAGGGCGGGGGGGAAAACGCGGCCAGGGTGGGTAGACTTCGTAATTTGCTTTTCAGAGTGACACAAGCCTCTACGAGATCAAGTCTCTAGGCAAGAAGTAGCGGAAGAAAAGAAGCGGTGGAAGTGCGGAGGTTTAGATGCGGCAAATGCGTGCGTGAGGTTGAGAAGGTACAGAGTGAGACAACAACACTATGCAGGAAGACCTGACTCGTAAGATGGTTAAGCCTTGTAAAGGTCGAGTCCGTTGGTCGAGAGGCGTATGAGCAGAAAGATGGTCGCGTAGGTGGTTAGGACGCGAATGGCGGTTCGGAGGACAGAGGGAAGAGACGATGGGGTTTTATCTGACTTGAAACGCAAGCCAAACCTTGTTAGAAGAAGGACTGCTTGGTTGAGATGCGTGTTGGGAGACAGATAGCAAAAGTAGGGATTCGGTGACGCGAATGCGATATCCGAAGAACAAAGAGGGATGGAGATGGGAGAAGAAGAAGAAAAGGGAGGAAGAAGAGGGGGAGAGGAGGGGAGGGGATATATCATAACACTGACTTACAGTGAATATGTTGTGTTGGGAAGGCGTGTTGCAACGCGTCTGGGCGGGGCCCTCAGACAGTGAACAACATTTGGTACTTACCGTGTTGAGCAGATTTGAGGCATTGGGAAGTGAATGAAGTTTGGGGGAACTTTTGCGCGGGAAATTTGCGACTCGGGGGGGTGACGTCTCGGCAGAACACCGGGCGGTCGGGATCTCGCCCAATGATGGCTCGCCGCCATACTACGGTACTATGTACCAATTCCGCTTGGGTCTTCATGGGACAGTGCAAGGATTATAGGTATTGCTTCAGTGCTTGCCAGTAGGTGATCATTGCATAGCGCGTACATGTACTGAGTATATTGTATGGATCCATGGCACAAATTCTCTGGTCCCTTGTAGGCGCTTTCAATTTTCAAAGCTTAGTGGAAATCACCACGGCTACTACCCAGTTTGTACACAGTGGAACTTCCAGAATACAAAGGATCGAGGCTCAAGGATACAAAACGGTTCACGGGCTCTTTGTTACATGGATTGAAAATCATTAAGCTTAAACAAGATGAAGAAACAGGGATAGTATAATACAAACGCTAATAAGCCCATTTAGAAGCTGATCTCACCTTTCCAGGCAGCATCCGACAGGCCAAGACTCTCCATCACGTTCTTCCACCTCTCGCCACCCCTGTCCTTCCTCCGAAGGTATCGAAGCATCTTTTGTCTCCGGTGGACAAGAACGCGCAGATTGCGCTTGTTGTGTTTATCTTGCCTGGCTGTCAGAAGGTGCTCAGTCAATCTGAGGATCTTCAACGTAAGGATAGCAATCTGAACTTCCGGAGAGCCAGTATCCGGACCAGCACGGGCGATCTGCTGTTCAACCTGTTCAGCGTGAACCCTCGTTTCGCCCAATTCGTTGCTAACATCCTCCTTCGCCAGCCCCAGCACACGGTCGGTATTGTGTCTGCCGAATGTCTCAATGCAGCTCTGAGTGTGAAGCCGCATGTGGTCCTTTGCGTTTCCGTTACCAATACCAGCAATTCGACGGATCGCCTCCTCGGCATTCTCGTGTTCTTTGATGTGCCTCTCAGCCGCTTCCTTCTCGAGCTGGGGGTCAGCGGTGTCTCGATCTGCATTCTGAAGGGGCGTAGTCAAGTCCTTCGAGTATTCCATAGCTGCCCTAAGACCTTCCGGGGTGATAAAATAGTTGAGCTTTGGGTCCTGCGGAAGCGATTGTGTTTTCTTGATCTCTTCAATGAAAGGTGTCGGCCGACTTTGGACGGGGTCGCCAAGAGACTCTGCGCGTTCTTTGGTGAGGACTTGTTGGCGGGAGATATTGGCGGCCTTGCGCTGGCGGGATTGCGCCAGTAGGAAAGGGTCATGTCTCCTGATCTCCCGTGATCTGGAGGAGCCCGCTCTCACGGAGGTTTGCGTCGGGTTCAATGACAGTGCAGCGAAGGGGCTTTGGATGGATGAGGAACCTAGTGTAACAGCGACCTGGTTAGTGACTAGGCTGAAAGGCAATGGATATCCAAAGCAGAAAGGGGCAAAAAATACCAGTAAAGGCCCTCAGAGAGGACTGGGTAGGGAATCGGGGAGGCATATTTGTAAGGCCAGCATGTAATGACTCCAATAGCCTTAGAACAACAGGTCCGCGCGACCCGCTGGCTCTGAAGTTGTCCGAAATCTCGACAACGGGTATGACGCTAGTACCGATCCAGCGACGCATGTGCACGTGACCTGTCGGACGGATCGGCGGCTCTTCTTGGCTAACCCTAGCCCTAAAATTCACAAACGGCAAGCGAAATTCATCGACCATCTCAGGTTGTGGTGTCGAAAGTTCAGCTTCGCGTTCGTCTCTTCCTCGTCACCACCACCGCGACAAGCGCCAGCCGATTGATATACTCATTTCGATATCCTTCGCAATATCAATCGCCCACCATGGCCCCCTCCCAGCTCCCCCCGATGTTCAACCCCACCCCCCAGGACATTGAGATGCTCCTGGCCGCTCAGTGCCACCTGGGCTCCAAGAACCTCCAGTCTCACATGGAGCCTTACCTCTGGAAGACTCGCCCCGATGGTGTCAACGTTCTCAACATTGGCAAGACCTGGTACGTTTGTTGCTAAGGCGGGACATCTATGCGGTATTATTCAACACTCGAGTCTAACTTGCGCGCGCGCAATTTTACAGGGAGAAGATCCTCTTGGCTGCCCGTATCATCGCCACCATTGACAACCCGGCCGACATCTGTGTCATCTCTGCTCGTCCCTACGGTCAGCGTGCTGTCCTGAAGTTCGCTTCCCACACCGGTGCCACCGCCATCGCTGGTCGTTTCACCCCCGGTAACTTCACCAACTACATCACCCGCTCTTTCAAGGAGCCCCGCCTGATCATCGTCACCGACCCCCGTACCGACGCCCAGGCTATCAAGGAGGCCAGCTACGTCAACATCCCCGTCATCGCTCTCTGCGACACCGACTCCCCCACCGACTTCGTTGATGTTGCCATCCCCACCAACAACAAGGGTCGCCACGCCATCGGTCTCGTCTGGTGGCTCCTGGCCCGTGAGGTCCTCCGTCTCCGCGGTACCCTCGCTTCCCGTGAGGTTGACTGGGATGTCGTTGTCGATCTTTACTTCTACCGTGACCCCGAGGCTGAGGAGAACAAGGAGATCGCCGATGAGACCAAGGTCCCCGGTGCTGAGGAGATCGGTGCCGCTCCCATCGAGTCCGGCTTCGCTGGCGAGAACTGGGATGTCCAGGGTGCCGGTGCTGGTGTTCCCGGCACTGCTTTCGCTGCTGCTAGCGCTGCTGCTGGTGCTACCAGCTGGGAGGCCGATGGTGCTGACTGGGCTGCCAACTCTGCCGCTCCTGCTGGTGAGAGCTGGGCTGAGGCCCAGCCCGCTGAGGGCAAGTGGTAAACGTCTGAACCCGGTGACGAAGATGGCTATTGAGAGGGGATTATGATCATTTTCTTTTTCTCACGAAGCAAAGGCGATCGATCGGTGAGTGACGAGGACTCCTCGATCCATCAGAAGGGATACCCGGTGGTGGTCCCTGCGCAAAGAAATGAATCCCTTGTCATGTCTATCCTAGTCTCTGTTCAGCAAAAAAATCAAAAGACAAAGAAGAAAAAGGAAAAAGAATCAACGGGAGCCCCACTACTTCAAATCATCCTTTTCCTACCTTTTCTTACGTGGTATGCTCCAGCAAAGTCTACTTCCACACGTCCGTTTTTACATTTCGTTTATGGTGGATCGGGGAGGAATTGCCTTGCCAAGAATTGACTGGCGCTTATGAGGGAAAGATATCCAGTTGTTCTCTTGCCTCGGTGAGCTTCTGGGGGAAAGCCCTGTGCTGTCAATTTCACAAGGTGGACTTAATCGTTACCTTGGTTTCTCCTTGTATGTTTATCATAGCCGTAATGGAAAAGTGATGCCAGCTACCATTGTATCCCATGTATCAGTATGGTTCCGAGTAGTCGGTAGTCGACGTAAAATAGCCTGAGTATCTCAAGGTAGCTAAAGTAGAAACCATGCTGATAGCGACCGCGCCCATCGCTTTGTCACAATATTCGAAGTTACAACACATCCAACTCCAACCAGTTCTTTATAGTACAGCAAAAGAAAGCATAAACTAATGGATCCGGAAACAAATCTCGAGGGGTATCAAACGCATCATAAAATAACACAGGTCCCAGCAGTCTGACCACCAGCTTTGGTTGTCGTCATCCCTGCTAGACGGGCAATATCTTCGAATGTCTCCGCCAGAAGCTCCCCAGTCACAGCCGAGCACTCTGCATACCGATCACAGCGGAGTTCCTGCGCGATCCGATACGACTATATCGGTTAGGTTAGAGCCCATATACAGCCCAGATAGATCCAGACTCTCCAGTATCTCGAGCACTATTAGAAAGAGCACTCACCTCTTGTGGGTAGATAATCCCCTCGCCTTCTACCCTGAGATCTCTCTTCAGACCCACCATCATGATGGGAATGCGTTCTCCATGCCCGTACTGGAAGTACCTAGTGATATCGTTTCGCCACTAGGTAAAATAGATGAGTTTCCACTCGAACCCCATTATAAGGAACGGTTTCAATCACTCACGGTCCTGAGGCTATCCAACGTTTCTCTGTTCGAGATGTCAAACGCCAGAAGAATAACGTCCGGTTTCAGGGTAGACCAATGCTGGTTGGGACTCGCTGTATCATATACCTCAAGGGCGAAAGATTTCTTTGAGAAGCGGATATCATAAAGAAAGGGCTGGTCACTGTCCCGGAGAAGATGTATCTGGATATCTGCAGGGTTTGGTCGTTGTCCTGGGGCCCTGCGGGGGTTGGATTTCAAGCTTCTGCGGGTTTGTTAGATTTACTGGGGTTCAAGTGACATGGATTCAATAGCTCCTTGAAAGACGCCTGAGAGTATGTGCTCTCAGATGTCTGTACTCACGAGAGAAATGTCGATTTTCCGCATCCCGAATCTCCCAACACAACGATGGTCACTGTCTCGTCCTCAAGACGCTCGTTGTCCCCCATTATAAATGGTATTCTGAGGCAGTCTCTACTACCTAGACCCCTTATTCAAGCCTTGTGGCTACCGTGCAGGTTCTCTCTTATGCGCGATTTTCTTTAAGAACAATAGAAGTCCAAGATGCGTAAAGTCGTTCGGTCTAATGTCCGGGATAAAAAGGTTAAATGCTATAAAAAACTGGATATATAAGCAGACAGTAGCAACTATGAATGTTCCAGTGGAACTTCCAATTCAGTTCCTGCACGGCCACATAAAAAACAAAGCTCTGATCTTTTTTAATTACGTGTATATCAAATATCTCTGAAAAAAGAATATGGAGAAAAAGATAAAGAGAATGTCGACCACCTAAATGCCTAGGTAGTATAGTACTCCGTACCATGCCCTCCAATGCGCACCATGCTTCCCCCCTCTCCCCGTGTAATATTACCATACAGTCATGTTACACAGCCACCCCAATGCCGTCGGAACTCCAAATTTTTGCGGCGCAACGAACAATTTCCCCTCCAAGGCAATTCAAACCGCGTGAGGCACACCCACCGTGCTCACGGGAATGCGAAGACTCCCAGGGAACATCCGTTATTTCTCGAATCTCACTCTGGGACCTTTTACGTCTGCACTAAGGACAGCGTTTCAATTCCTCCCCAGAGCAAACGCCCAAGTCACCTTCCCCGTGACAAAAACCATGTCCGGCACCGCTGAGGAACAACAAGTTCCTCCTAGCCAGCCCGACTACTCAACATGGACCTCGTCGAGTCTTATCGCTCGGATCACGGAGTTAGAGCGTCAGCTGCACACCCGGACAGCGGAATACGCCGCGTCGCCATCGATCCAGCCTGAGGATCCGGCTCAGGATGCAGCGAGGAGCACCACGGCAGCGAACAAACCCAAGCCCTCCTCTCCTGCGAACAAAAAGAAGGAGGTGCGACCGCCTAAGCCTCCGAAGCCGCGCAGGGAAATCGACCCGTCCAGATACCATACGCGGCATATCGCTCTGAAGTTCGCCTATTTGGGGCAAAGATACAACGGGCTTGAGCATGCAAATGGGAATGCCACGCCATTGCCGACTATTGAGGAGGAGATGTACAAGGCCCTGCGAAAGACGCGCCTGATCTTCCCCACAGATACTTCGGGTGATGAGTTTGTGGATAGCATCGCGCCGAGAGAGACGAAGCCATACTGGATCAACTGGGATGGTTGCGAGTATTCCAAGGCTGGGCGTACAGATCGGGGTGTGAGCGCCTTTGGGCAGGTCATTGGTATCAGAGTGCGGAGTGCACGCCCGAAGCTCAAAGAGGTTGTGCAGTCGGAGGAGAATGTGGATACAGCTATGCGGGATACGGAGGAGGCGGACACTCTGGTTGACGATGGTTGGGATGATGTCAAAGATGAGCTACCCTACGCGAGTATCCTGAATAAGGTTCTCCCTGAGGATATTCGAGTACTGGCGTGGTGCCCACGTCCTCCTAAGGATTTTGATGCCCGCTTCTCTTGCGGGGAACGCCATTACAAATACTTCTTCACCCAACCGGCCTTTTCTCCTACGCCGGGTCCTTCTGGATTGATGTCCCGTGATGGAAAGGGCACGACACCGAAATACAGAGAGGGTTGGCTGGACATTGAAGCGATGCGTGAAGCCGCCAAATATTTCGTGGGAACGCACGACTTCCGGAATTTCTGCAAATTGGATGTCACCAAACAAATCGAGTCTTTCCATCGGGACATCTTCCGCGCCGATATTGAAATCCTCGATGCTAGAACTAGACCGCTGGGCTACGTCACTACGCCAGAATTCCGAGCAGTGGAGGAGGAGCAGAGTGCAGATTCCGCGACGGAAGCTTTGCCAACTGCTTCTCAGGTATATGTGTTCAATTTGGAAGGGTCTGCCTTTTTGTGGCACCAGGTCCGACACATAGTCAGTGTTCTGTTCCTGGTAGGCCAGGGGCTCGAGCCGCCATCCATCGTGGCTGATCTGCTCGACGTCTCCAAGAACCCGCGAAAGCCGACATATGAGATGGCTTCAGATGCCCCCCTCGTACTTTGGGATTGCATGTACCCAACCAAGGGGAGTGGCAGTCGTGCAGACACCTTAGATTGGGTCTATGCCGGTGATGTTCGACAAATAAAGTCTCATCTCGGCAAGGGAGGCGGGAAATTCGGTCTTGGGGGAATCGTAGAGGAGCTCTGGTCTGTTTGGAGACAGCGCAAGATGGATGAGATTCTGGCCGGTGCATTACTAGACAAGGTGGTCAGCCAGGGTGATCAGACTGTCACCACGAGTGGAGGAACAAACCCAGTCTGGGAGAGAAAAAATCGAGGCCAGAAGATCTTCTTCGGCGCCAATCATTCCAAAACGGGTGGGGATTATATCCCAGTCATGCAAAAGAGGAAGACGGAGCTCGTGGAAGTCCAAAACGCGAGGTGGCTTGCAGCGAAGCAGCGGAAAACCGAGGCTGGCGCGAAGCCTACCAGGATGGAAATATAGGCAAATTCTGTACATACTCCGGTTTAATGTATATGCATGTGGTGAAGCTCCATGTCTGTTTGTTCCGTCTTTCCTCTAAAAGCGCTTCCGGCTGCATTAAGACTTTGAATCGTACAGGCATCGCCGTGAACCTCTCCAGACCTCCTCCAATATTTGTCGGTTTGGTAATAGTTTCTGGCCGATGTTAGTATGTAAGTGGAGCAGCAAGGTATGGGGTCATTTAGGGACTTACAGGGAAGACCACAACTACTTCACTTTCACCTTTTACAATAACCGCGAGATAGAAGCGGACCTCGAACCCTTTGAAAGCTTCATGGATCACAATATCCTGGATCTGTGTCGTGGGTATAAATCTCGTCGAGGCTTTGGATAGATAGGTCTGAGAGGAGGTGGACGTTTGGATACCGAGACCGCGAATGACCAGGAGCGACTCTTCTGTAAAACGCCAATGGCTGTTAGCATCAAGGTGGAGATTTTTCAGTATGAATGGTTCAAACAAACCTGTATATCCCTTTCTGAAAACACCATAAATCACGACCGTGCTGGCCAACACCACAACTGGGGAGCTGTACGCATCTGCGACGCGACAGACCGATGACCCCATTGAACTCGACCACATCGTCGTCCAACGTATCCAGGAACCATCTTGCAAAAACAAGGAATGGCGGAATTTAGCAATATCCAGGAGGAGTACGCAGACAAGCGCTAGTACGCGCAATAATATTTGGAGATAGAAGAGTGCCTTCGCTGCCGTGCTCGTGTGTCTGGAGGCATTGGAAACGGTGAATGAGACGGTCGTCGGAGACGGGCGCCGCAGTATGAGGCGACCTGGCATCTAGGGTGGTAATGGTTCAAGAGAATTAGGCTGAAAGATAGTCCATTGAAGCGCACCGACAGAGACAACAGGCAGGAGAGCGCTGGGGATATATGTTCAAGATGGCCAGACCTTTATCGCATTGGAATTATTGAACTCCGCTCCGCGCTGCAATCCGGACCTCTTCGAGTCTAGTCCCTTTACGGACTAGAGAATCTCACACATCCATTTGGGGCATCTGCAGTACACCGTCACGTGCGCATTGTCGCATCTCCTGATCTTAAACACCTGTCCTACAGGTTGCCCAACGTTGTTGCCTTATCAGTGACCATGGATATGTTTCCATCCCATGTTCTCGGATGCGGACGTTGGGGGCAGCAGAAAGAGACCTGTGGTCACACTTGAACAGGAGAGTCTGTCTGATAGCCGATATAGAGATAAATACAGCCCCGAGGAATTGGCGACATGTCTATCATTATGAAAGGAGGGTTCTTTGTTGATGCATGAGGAAGGGATCCCTGGGGATAGTGACTCCCACCAAGGTACGGTCCAGGTGACAAGTGATCCACGGAGAAACTACAAGATCTTACTGTTGACAGCGTCTCTCCTGCTAATTCTTACAGAATATGGATGGCTAACAGCTGACAGGAACCACATTGCACAACTCCTTAGCATTTGTCTACAGTTCCTTGAAGGTGACACTTGTCGGTATGGCGATCCACGCATGTACAAGTAGACTTGTGAGCAATTTATTCCTGCCTGTTTTGACCCCCTTTCCATGGAATTTGTTTACTGACCATGCGATGCACAGGTAGATTGAATGGGCCATTAATGGGGCAGTCGTAATGTTTCTCGGCCCTTCTTCCCTTACCGCCTGCCCATATGTTGCTTGGGCCTGAGACATGGGCATAAGAAGACTGCATAGAAATCCAGCTCCATTTTGTTCCTCCCCATATGCATTTTCTCTCCCATTTTTTCCCATGTTGCTTCTGGTTTCTTTCCCCCGTTCAGCCTTATTTTCCATGTACCTACCGGCAAATGGAGACAACTCGTCCTTGGTGTAATGCGGCAGCTACTAAGCCCCTCCGTAACGGGCAAGGTAGCTACTGTTATTTATGTGCAGCGAGAGACCGAGTGATCTGGCAGACGGTGGGGGTCTGGCTGACCATTTGCTGGATGCTGTGTTGTTGCATTCCCCCCTCAACTTTGGAACCATCCCCGGGCCTGGAGATGGGCTTTCAAGCGGGACTGCGGGGCCGCTGAATTTGTCGAAGACGGCCAAGCCGGTCTAGCCCGATGCAGCAACTGCGGCCTGAGGCTCCCTGCGGCAGACACCCGAGGCTGCAGCAAGGCCGGTTCCACTCGCGGGAGAGGCATTTTTTTTTTCGTCGTCTCTATGGCCGACTCACACGACTCTCAATCTCTCCGTTTCAATGTCTTCCCCATACATTCGCTTGGGCCCCGTTCTTGATTCCCCGCCATGAGGTAGTTGCCTACTCGTCCTCGCCGCGACATCACTTGTTCTCCTTTTGCCGTCCGAGCTCGCCTTCTATAGTGCTAATCCCACCATTCGTGCCGCCCCTCCAGATCCGCCGTTTCACCGGATTTTGCTCCTTTGTCCCCGCTTCCGAATCGGCCATCCTCGCCTGTGATCCTATATCCCCCCAGCTTTCCTGAAGCGTCCCAGCCCGACACCCAGGTCAAAATGGTCCGGAACATCGTTGTCATCGGAGGGACCTCCCATCCTCAATTGACTCAGACCATCTGCAGTGTCCTTGGCATCCCCCCGGCCGACGTCCTCTTGTCGAAATTCTCCGTTGGTGAGACCCGAGTCGAAATCAAAGAATCTGTCCGTGGAAAAGATGTCTACATCATCCAGTCTGGTGGCGGAAAAGTGAATGATACCCTCATGGAACTTCTCATCACCATCTCTGCCTGCAAGACCGCCTCCGCCAAGAGAGTCACCGCAGTCCTCCCGCTTTTCCCCTACTCGCGTCAGAGTGACATCCCTTACAACAAGTCAGGAGCTCCTCTGGTCAAATCATCCCTTGCGGGGAAACAGGGAAATAACTACACCTTTGAAAGTACCCCGCCTACCCCACACCCGGGGAAGCCAGAGAGCGGAGGCCTTCTCATGAATGGCGTGGATAACCTGCAGAAGAGCCTGGCAAAGGCCCAGTTGGAGGACATTAGCAACGGTAGCCCCGTGAAGAGGCAGCGCCCGGCCAACGGTCTTCCCCGCAGCGACACTATGGATTCCTTCATGGCCGAGGGCAGCAAATTTGCTTCTCCCAACGGCAACGCTGCCGACGAGAAGATCAACAACTTCCAACCGCGCCCTGGTTACAAGCAGTGGGTGGCTCAGGCAGGAACCTTGGTAGCTGACTTGCTCACCTGCGCTGGCGCCGACCATATCATCACGATGGACCTTCATGACCCTCAATATCAGGGATTCTTCGATATCCCCGTCGACAACCTGTACGGCCGACCTCTTCTCAAGAGTTACATCCAGCGCAACACCCCCAACTACAAAAATGCTGTCATTGTCAGTCCCGATGCAGGCGGTGCAAAGCGCGCTACGGCGATTGCCGACTCCATGGGCATTGAATTTGCCCTGATCCACAAGGTTCGCATTCCATAGACTGCTGTAGTTTTTCCTTTCGACTATTCTAACAACATGTAGGAGCGTCGCCCCACGCGGATAACGGATCGTCAGAATGCGACCATGATGTTGGTTGGTGACGTCAAGGATCGGACGGCTATCCTAATTGATGACCTTGCCGATACTTCGAACACGATCACCAGAGCGGCGAAGCTCCTGAAAAAGGAAGGGGCCTCCCAGGTCTATGCCCTGGTCACTCACGGCATTCTGAGCGGAGATGCTATTGACCGCATCAACGCTAGCGCTCTCGACAAGGTGGTTGTCACCAACAGTGTGGATCAGTCGGACCATCTGCGCAGGTGCCCGAAGCTGGAAGTTTTGGAAGTCGGCCATGTCTTCGCTGAGGTAGGTTTATTGGAGATAACTCCCGGTCACTTGACGCATACTAATGCGCTATAGGCTATCCGTCGTGTCCACCACGGTGAGAGTATCAGTGTTCTTTTCCAGTACGACTAGTCTATCTCGTCGTAACGTTTCTTTTGCATGTGACATGCCCTTTACCGGGAAGGACGAAGCCTTTAAAAAAAGGAGTGATGAAATGAGGTCATATATTGATGAATTTCTTTATCGTGTCTTTGACATTTGCTATACTACTTTGGCTTTTATAAGCATACCATTGCATATCATTCTTGCTTTCCAAACATATCAACCAAGACTTAAGAGGAGCGGACAGACACGTCTTCAGGGCTAGCAAAGCGCATCTCCTGTTCTGGGACCCTCTTCTTCTGGACTTTCACACCCTGTTTCCATATCTCGGTCCTGTATGAGAATCGTTGGGTGCGCCATCCGCGCCATCCACGTCTCGACTTCGGTTTGGTTGGTTTTTGGACTGCAACTGTCATGAAATTCGCTTAGACAGATTGGCTCAGAGCTTAGTACATATCCATGATTGTGAAAAAATGACTTATACGCAGCACAAAAAGCATGCTGGCTAGTCTGGTATTATTATAATACGACACATGCGTGTGGTTGTACGCACCCATCATAATGAAAGGTAGAGAGAATCCAGTTTCATCTAGAAACTCTATCACAGGCAGAATTCCCAAACTCCCGGGGCAAGGATAGCAAAGACTGGCGAGCCAAAACTAGTATAGGTATGCTGGGCGATTTGATGCGCTCATTACAGAGACTGGGTACTGACTAGACACGACTGAAACAATGGAGAAATGAAGGCGCCCAGAAGCAACAGGATACTCGAGGTTACACATGCAGCATGAGAGAGGTACATATTGCGGCAGGATATTTTGAGGAAGGTCAGATGGAAACGGAGTGACATAAGGGATATGGTATCTAGAAAACGGAGATAAAGTTTCCAATCCTCTCTTTCTGGTTCTGGGCAATGCACTCGGCAATCCAGGTCACGTTGCGGATTTCCTGCATCGGAAGTTAGCTTGAATCCTTGACCACCTGTAAGGGCGAGGGGGGGCACAACTCACCTGCTCCTTCAGTCTCATCCATGCGTATACAACGGCGGGAGTGAACTGCCGCGTGAATACCACTTTGCTCATCTCCATCTCCTTCTGGTAGAACAGATCCTCCAGACTCTTTCCGTCCGATCCTCCCAGACCACCACCTCCCTGAGTGAGACCGACAGCATCGAAGAACGCCTTGTAGTCCGCGGAGATGCTCACGGCGAGAGCCACGGACTCGATATCATCGGCCCGGGAAAGCATCAAGGATCCCTCCGGGTAAAGCTTGCCAAACTCCGGGTAGAGCTTCCTCCGCTCTGGCTTTGAGAGCTCCGTGCCAAAGGAGTTCAACGTGATGTTGATCGCACGTCGGTCGGCCTCGAACTGCAAGATATCCGACATGACCTCTTGTGTCGGGGTGCCCTTGAGATCGGGGTGTGTGTTGACGAAGTTGTGGAAGTCCTCCAGGTAGTTCTTGTAGAGGGTGTTGCGCACGATCTCGATGTTCAGCTCGTCCAGATCCTGGTGGCTCAGGCTGCCCCTGAAGTAACCGGCAAGCGGTGTCTCAATCAGGACGGAGTTGTAGAGCTCTTCAATGTTCGTGGCGACGCACAGGACGGGCAGAGTTTCGAACCAGCCCAGGGGATGGCATCGCTCCAGGAGCTCGCGGGTGTCACGCTCGTGTAGGGTACCGGTGATGAGCAGGGCGATGTTGTCGATCATGTACCCGTAGGTGAGATACTGCAGGAATTTGGCGGTCGACCCCGTGGCCTGCGCGAGGAGGTAGCGGAACTCAGCGACCAGCTTATCCGTCATTTTGCCCGCCAGGGCAGAGGTAGAGGGGTTAGGAGGGAGAGAGGCGAGGAAGTCGCCATATGCGGGGGCGAGCTGCAGCTTGACATCTGGTAGAACACAGCATCGTCAGCTTCTGACAAGGAGATAGCGGTAGCCTTGATGTTACCAACCATCGATGGTTTCGCATTGGGTCAGGTTGGAGTAGTGCTGGCCGGTTAGAAGGCTGTTCCGATAACCTCGGACAATGCCCTCGATGTAGCTGTAAATATGCGAATTAGCGACCCCAAGGGAGACCAGCAGAGTCCAGTCAGATCAGACATACCCGCTACTGACGTTAAAGAACAAACCCTCCATTGTGGGCAGGCAGATGAGCAGAAGAAGTCCGGATGTCCACAACTACTACCTGGTCTCCGCCGCAGTCGATAGACTGACGACCAGTCGCTGATGCATCGGCATCCCGTGCGGCTGACATAATCGCGCACCGCCACGGCGGGCCACCAGCCACTCGCATGGCGCTTTTCGCTTTTTTCACTTTTTAGTTTCTTGAGGTTAAAAAATATTCAGCGGATTTCAATCCATCCCGTCCAGCACGCCAATCCCCTCCCACCCCCCGGCCCATCTCCCTTTCCTTTCTCGCCTCTAGCTGTTCTTCTGTCTATATTTTGCAGCTAGAAGTTGAGGTCGTCCACCATGACGCTTTTCATCCTTACGGAAACCAGCGCGGGCTATGCCCTGCTCAAGGCCAAGGACAAGAAGTTGTTGAAGAGAGACGATCTGGCGACTGAAGCCGCCACTCCCGAGGGCGTGTCCAACCTGTAAGTGGCCTCTTTTTCTCCTTTTAGACTCGATTGGACCTCGTTGGGCTTTGTCCGGCGCGTGGTGCCTTCAATGCAAAAATTTTCCCCCGCGTCCCCGGCTAACCGCCCGCCGCATGTAGTGTCAAGTTGAAGAGCTTCCAGAAGTTCGATAGCGCTGCTTCCGCCCTGGAGGAGGTTGCTTCCCTCGTCGAAGGAAAGGTCACTCCTCGCCTCGCCAACCTGTTGAACGAAGTCAAGGATGAGAAGAAGGTTTCGCTGGCCGTCTCCGACCCGAAGCTCGGTATGTGGTTTTTGCACCCGCTGTGCGAAAGTTTTCAAAGTTTCTCAATGACTGACTGGAAACTCCAGGCACTGCCATCAGCAAGCTCCCCGGTCTTTCGATCGAGCTCGTGGCCGACTCTTCCACGACCGACATCTATCGTGCCATCCGTGAACACCTGCCCACTCTCATCCCCGGCCTTCTCCCCCAGGACATGTCCACCATGTCCCTGGGTCTCTCGCACTCTCTCGCCAGACACAAGCTCAAGTTCTCCCCCGACAAAATCGACACTATGATTGTGCAGGCCATTGGTCTTTTGGATGATTTGGACAAGGAGCTGAACAACTACGCCATGCGTGTGAAGGAATGGTACGGCTGGCACTTCCCCGAGCTGGCAAAGATCCTGAACGACAACATCGCCTATGCCAGACTCGTCCTCAAGATGGGCATGCGTTCCAACTGGGAGACTTCGGATCTCGCTGAGATCCTTCCCGAGGAGATCGAGGGTGCCGTCAAGGCCGCCGCGGACCGCTCCATGGGTACCGAGATCAGCCAGGATGACCTGGAACACATTCAGGCTCTTGCCGAGCAGGTCGTTGGCTTCGCTGAGTACCGTACACAGTTGGCTGGCTACCTCACCTCCCGCATGAACGCCATTGCCCCCAACCTGACTGCCCTCGTCGGTGACCTGGTCGGCGCCCGCCTCATCGCCCACGCCGGTAGCTTGACCAACCTGTCTAAGAGCCCCGCCAGTACCATCCAGATTCTGGGTGCTGAGAAGGCGCTGTTCCGTGCTCTTAAGACCAAGCACGACACTCCCAAGTACGGTCTGATCTACCACGCTTCCCTCATCGGCCAGGCCACCGGCAAGAACAAGGGTAAGATGGCCAGAGTTTTGGCCGCCAAGGCTTCCCTTGGTCTGCGTGTGGACGCTCTGGCCGAGTGGGATGACGATGCCACCGAGGAGGACAAGAGCGCTCTGGGTACGGAAGCCCGCTACAACCTCGAGCGCAAGCTCGCTGCCATGGAGGGCAAGGCTCTCAAGCCCCGCGGTGTTAACATTGCCCCCAACGGTGCCGCCTCTCAGCCCAAGAAGTTCGAACTCAACGAAGCCCGGAAATACAACGCTGACGCTGATGCCGTCACGGGCGACGAGCCTGTGTCTGCCAAGAAGAGCAAGAACAAGAAGCTCGTTGAGGAGGTTGAGGACGAGGAGATGGCTGACGCCGACTCCTCCGATGAGGAGGCTGAGGCCAAGGAGGACGACTCCTCCGAGTCCGAGGATGAGTCCCCCAAGAAGAAGTCCAAGAAGAGCAAGGATTCCGATATCGAGAAGCTGGCTGAGAAGGCCGGTCTGAGCGTCAAGCGGTACCAGCGCAAGCTCGAACGCGGCGAGATCCAGTTCGATAAGGAGGGCAACCCCAGCGCTATCAGCAAGAAGGACGTGAAGAAGGCCAAGAAGGAGTCCAAGAAGTCGGCCAAGGGTGAGGAGAAGAAGCGCAAGCGGTCAGACGACGGCGAGGTCGACAACACCGAGAAAAAGAAGAAGAAGAAGAAGAAGGGTGAGGAGTAAACAACAAAACAAAGGAAGTCATCTCGAAAAAAAAAGTTAAACACCGGATGGAATGCTTCAATTTCTGTATGATATCACACCATGTGGGCCGATTTTCTATTTTCTCTTTCGCTATTTGCTTGAAGATTATACTGTGTTTGGGTGGCATTTGATGGGATGGAATTTACTATCCTGGCGCAGAGGTGCTTGTTGGTCTAGGGCAGTTCAGTTCCAGAAATAATGTTCCTTTCTGAGTTGGTTTGTGTGTAGTAGTCTCGGGTGGTGGTGGTGTTGTAGTGAGCCTGCAAGTGTACTTTGTAAAAACCTTCTGCAGCATAGTAGTTGCGTGTTTACTCCGTAGAAGTTTTTGTAATAACCATTGTTCAAAAATTACGGACTTAGTGTTACCCAGTTTCGCGGGGATTTAGAACAAAATAGTCAATCATTTTTATTCATGATCATGATTCAACTTCATTATTCTTAACGACTTCACAAGCTAACTTTATAATACAGAACATATTCTCACAAACATGCGCAGTTCCCCTCATCGACAATGGCTCACTAAAGGGAAAAGGCATGATTTGTTTGATCAAGGTATATATATATATACTATATATATATATAAAGTTTACTCCAGGGCAAGAATCCTGGCAACAGCGGCCTCGGCAACAACCATGATAGTGGCCTGGATGTTACCGGTGGGCAGGTCGGGGTGGATACCGCCGTCGACGACGAACTATACGAGTAGATGGTTAGCGGGTTGTTACAAGAGAGAGAAGAGGGAGCGAAGCAACACCGTGCAAGCAAGCAAGCAAGGATGATACATACCAGGTTGTCCATTCCGTAGACCTTGGTGTTGAGGTCAACGACGGAGGTACCGTTGTAGCGGCCATCGTCGGTACCGAGCTTGGTGGTGGTGGTGTAGTGCATACCAGCGCTCAGGCTTCCAATGATGGCAGAGACGTTGGTGTAAGTCTCCAGAGAGAAGCCAGTGGAGGGGTCAGTGATGTCGTTGACCAACGACTGGACGAAGGCGGTAGCGGCTTCGCGGTCGCCCTCGGTCTGGAGGTAGGGAGACACGTCGAAGATGGTCTCACCCTCGACGTTCAGGCCGAGGACACCGGAGGAGGTCAGACCGTGGGTCATGTATGTGGTGATGGTGACAACGTCGGTGTCGGTGGGGGCGCAAGAACCCTGGTAGTAGCGGGTCTGGTTGTCGACATTGTTGGAGCTGAAGAAGATCATACGGTGCTTTCCCTCGGTCAGGACACCGCTGCCCTGGGCGTAGAGGTCGATGTCGGCGGTGTCAGTGCCGTTGACGATGGCAGCGTAGTCGAGGAGGCCGTAGGTGCCGTTGGTCTTGACGATGATGGAGAAGATGGGGTGGTCCTTGAGGCCAACACCAACGGGGAGGTCGAGCCATTCGCTCTTGGGGGGAACAGTCACGCCGCTCTCCTCGGCGATCTCGATCTGGGCGCTGGGGCCAATACCGGAGTTGAAGAGGATGCGAGGGGTGTGGAGGGCACCGGAGGAGAGGATGACTCTTCCGCTGTCGGCCAGAGTGATGTTCTCAAGAGCGCCGGAAGCGTTCTCGACCTCCACGCCGGTCACCTGGCTGCCGGAGCGAAGAACGCGGATCACCTTGGTGCCGTAACGGAGGCTGAAGTTGTCGCTCGTCTCAGCCAAGGGCAAGTAGGTGCGAACCGGGCCGGCACGGACCTCATCCTTGATGTTCCAGGCAGGGTGGCTGTAGACCTGATACTTCTCGTTGGGCTGGGTGATCATGTCAACAGACGTCCATCCAAGGTTGCTGAAGAAGTTGGAGAGAACAGTGTAGAGACCCTGGTCGTAGCGCTTGCCATCAGCCGAGGGCTGGATGGTCCCGGGGTTACGCGCATACAGCCTCTCTGAAGCGGCCTTGACGTCGTCCCATTTCCAGCCCTCGGGCCATCCTTCGTCGAAATCGCGCTCGGGGGGGTGCACGAAGACCATGTAGTTGACGGTCACACCGCCACCGAGCACGCAGGCAGCATATCCCTCGGTATCCGTGCAGATATACTCATCCCACTGGGGAAGCTTGCCAATATCGGCAGACAGACCGGGCAGATCAATGTTCGTCAGGGTGTTGTTCCAGACGAGGGTCTCGTTAGCTCCAGTAGCGACAGTCGGGCCGTAACCTCTCTCCAACAACAAGACCTTCTTGTTGGCTTCAACCAGTCTCTCGGCGGTGATGATACCGGACGGGCCTCCCCCGACAACAATGTAGTCATAGGAGTCAGTGCTGCTCGAGTGAGCAGCGTGAACGGCGTGGCCGGCGTGGGCAGTGGCCGCAGCTCCGACAACGGAGCTGGAGGCAGCAAGGCCTGCAAGGAGGAAGGAACGCATGATGAAGATTCTGGGCGGTACAGCACTGGAATTTGAGTCAAGGGAGGGAGGTTGATCTTTATATTTATAGTCTCGCGTGGCACTGTGAAGAAGTGCACCCCTCCATGCTCCGTCAGGGCCTGGCTCCCAACTTCCCGTATTCTTAGTCAATAGATACCTAGCTCACGCGAGCAATTGATCCCGAGCATTTGTTGGGAGGGTCCAGGACTCCTCTTCCGGCTGCCATGTCCGTGCCAAAACCCTCCGATCCCGAAAAAATACGGCCAGAAAACGGCTCAGGTCCCACCGGCAGAGACAGCAAATTCATCTCGGATCAGGGAATCCCGTTCCGGTCCGAGAGGCTGACCCTCTTGGTCATATCTTTCTCAGCATCGGGGGTTCCGCAGGATTCATATGGAACGTAGTGGACAGTGGTGTGAAGTACTCCGTAGTCAGACCGAAAAACCTCTCAACCTGCAGTCACCATCTTATCACGGCCGATCAACTCGATCAAGGTTGCTAGAGGCGGGCTCGGTGGGTCCCCTAAGAGCGCCGGACGTTTAGGGCTTTAAGCTAAGGCATCGGGAAGATTTCAAAGACTTGACAAATCCAAGCCTAAGCCAGAGTGGATCATCTGGATCTTCTAAATCCTTCCCTGCGCCCTGGTCAGACTTGTGGTGCTTCACACTAGGCTGAGAAAGTAGAAATCAATGAGGGGGATTTTACAAATAATAATATTTCACTCAGGCTAAGCCGCCTTTGCCACTCGGAAAACCACGCCGGCAGTCAAGTTGTATCGCGATCCACGGCTTGGGGAAACTCCTCGAGGGTTTGGATTCCGCTGGCATCCTCGATAATCCATACTTTTGCGAAGAAGTCTCTCGAATTCTAGACGGAATGATAGATACCCGGGCAGGGTCAGGCAGGGAGGGATTAAGTCCTCATCCGTGGGCTAAGACCTAGGAGAGTAGTGCAACCTATCTATTCTTATGACGCCGTCAGAAAAGTAGTTGTGCTAGGTGCCACTAACATGCGAAAATGGAAGTTAGTACTCATCTAGGTAGCTGCAGGAATGGGAATCCTAGTCTGCACGCTTGTCGAAGATTGCTAAGCTTTCGCTTGATATTAAGTATTCTCAGTCTTTGTTTTACCGACACGCGATGTCAGGGGGGGGGGGGGGGGGGGGGAAATGCTGGGATGTTGCAAGCTGCAGGCGTGCAGCAGCGGACTCGGCGGCTGTGGCACTCGGGTACCTGTAGCGAAGTACTGTACATAGAGAGAGTACGGAAACTGTCCCGAGCAGAGTAAGAACTAAGATTCAACCACAGCCGCCGCCTGACCCTGACAGCAGCTGACTTTCAATACGAGCGAACGGAAGTTTTCCGTCGTCCACTTCTACTATCTAAGACCTATCTAAGACCTATCTACAGAGTAGGCAGTGGATAGACATTAATTAGTTCTCCGTCGTCTAATTGCCTTATCATCACCACCTTCGTTTACGCTAGGTGCCTGGATACGAACCTGAAGATGTCCCTCGAGTCCAACGCACTCTACATCGCGCTCTTCATCCGCGACGACCCACCAAAGCCGAACGATTATCACTGGGCTCTCTACTACTATCACAACAGCACTAGCAGTAGTAGTGGCATGAAGTATCACATCCGCAACGAAGGTAACGGCTGGATGGCCGCTCACGGCCTAGAATCAGGCGCCGGCATCCTCAAGACCTTCCTCCTGGTGGGACTAGTCCACATTGCAAGTATTCCTCCGACACCGCTAGCACAAGAGTCTCTCGATCGCGTATTTAGGAGCCACGATGGGCAGCTGAATGAGGATGAGACTATCACCTGCCGGACTTGGGCGTTGAAGGTGCTGCTGAGACAGTTGCAGGAGCAGTTAGGGGTGCTAGACGGGATAGAGTTGGAGATGTTAGAGCAGGAAGTGATGGAATGGGGGAACCAGTATAGATTCGAAGCGAGTCGGAATGTACAGCCCAGGCCCGTGGGGAAGAGTCGATATCTGACAATGTGAAGTGAGGTGAAGCTTAAGCTTCTCTTGTCTCCTGCTCCCCCTCCCAGTAGTCTATCTCCTTACCGCCTCCCGTTGAATGCCCGGCAGAATCGCCCGTTTGCTTCTCCGCCCCGCATTATTCCACCACTTTTTTTCCGCACCTCGTACGTTATCGAGCAAATCGATCGACTCATATCCTTCGCCCCATCCAAGCAGAGTATTCAAAATGAGGGTATGCCGGTCCATGCTCCCTGCGATCACATATCATTACTAAGAAAAAGAAAACAGATCGTCGACCCCCAATCCGCCGTCCTCACCAACATCGAGGTCCTGGCCTATGTAACGGCCAATCCACCAAGACGACCCCCCAACCCGCCGCCGAACTCAAGACACTGGGTCCCGAGTCCGGATCTCAGAGACCACAATACCGTCGTTAAGGAGGTACGTTGCAGCCCTCGAGGCCTTCCCATATACACCAATCAGTTATGCGTCGCTGTACAACAGTCAGTCAGCTAGCCGGGGCTCGTCGCGGGACTTCAAGCTACGCTACGCTACATAGATAGATAGTACAAGGTAGACGAATGCATATCTATCTATCTACAGCTGCAATTTACCCAATATCTCCTACTCTTCTTCTTTCGTGTTTGTAAATTCCAAGGAGAAAGGGAGACTGACAAGACCAACAGATACACAATTACGTCGCCCGTCTCTCTCCACATCTATACAACTACCCAAAATACACACACCAAACGCCCGCGCAAATACAAGCCCAGTCGCAAGCACTATCGCAACAACAATCCACATCGACAGCCCTTCCTCCTGCCCAACTCAACGTTCCAACGCCGCTGGATCATGCCCTCCGCGACCTTGTCACGAGGCTACAGCCTTATGGGCTGACGAAGGGTGAGGTGCTCATGATCGTGAACCTCGGCGTGGGGCTAAACCCCCCCGCGGCGGATGGTGATACCGAGGGAGGGGAGGGAGAGGAGGACGAGAATGCGGAACAGGGCGATGCGGAGGATGCGAACCAGATGGATGTGGATGGGGCGGAGGCGGGTGATGGCGAGGGGCAAGGGGAGTTGCCGGAGGAGGATTACGGAGCGCTTGCTTTGTTGGATACGGTCATTGAAGAGCGGGAAGAGAGACTGAGCAGTGAAGATGTCATGAATGTCTTGGCTATCATTCGGGAGACTTTGGGGTCTAAGAGGCTATCCGGGGGAGAGGGTATCGATGAGGAGGGATAGAGGCCACCTTAATATACATAACACTATCATTATACCAAACTTCTGTACATTGAATCGCGTCCAGCTACTGATTTTGTAAGCCAATCGACGTATATGTTCTATCTAATATCTATACAACCCGGTGTCTTTTGGGGTATCCACTGGGATACTCCAGCCAAACCCAGAAAAAAAATATCATACAAATGACCTCTATGCCAGGCTGCTATGAAGCCTGCAAAGCATGCAAGGCAAGGCACATATTTCAAGATTTTGCACAAGAACCAGTTCGCTGAAAAAAAAAACCAACGGCAGTAAACCCCAAACACCACATCAATATGCGCTGCCAATGCTGATGGCTAGCGCTCGCTGCACCTTGCAGCTTGAAATGGGTAATATATGCAGGAAGGAAAAAGAGGAATGCGTTTATAGGTGAAACGTTCATATCCTCATGACAGCCTAAGCCACTTCCATGGTTCTCTGAAGAGCCAGTCACAGAGATCCAAGGGGGCTTTGCCATATTAGGATACCGTTTTAGTTTTCTTTGCCCTTGATAACGTTGCCAAATTTGTTGTAGACCGGCTCATCGGCATCTTCGCCATTCTCTTTTCCATAGGGTCCAAGTTCATCGGCGAAGAGTTCTTTGTCATAACTTCCGCAGACTTCGGTGTAGGCGAGCCATTCGCCCTTGTCGGTCCAGATTCCCCCCTTACCGCCGCGCATATCCCACCATTCTTGGCCTCCCAGCAAAGCAGACTGGGAAGCATCGAATCCATTCGGTGTACGCATATACTTGCGTAGAAGAGCACGGGCCCATGGCTGGTACCACATCTCGGACCACCACTTATCTAGGACAGCGTGGTCCCCATCTAGGTGCAACAGAGCCGGAACAGACGCCGAGTGAGTGTTGGTCAGCAATGGAATATTATGCCATGTATGGTTGCGCGGATCTGGAAGTTTATCAAGAGTAGCATTGAACGGTGGGTTCGGCCATTCATCCTTGCCAAATTTGGGCTGAACGAACGGATTGCCAATGTTCTCCGTGGTAATATCCGTAGGGATCAGCAGGCGTTTCTCTCTGGGAACGCCATGCTCCATCTGCACACCTGACGTCTTGGTGACATTGTTATAATGAAGCCATTCGACATCCATCTTAGCATTACGCATGTTGAAGAATAGCCGGGATTCATAGTCGACCCCAATACCATATTCGTATCGGGTTCCATGCTCAAGACGTGGTGGAGTAGCTCCTGTGATGTTCGACGCGTCTGAAATGCCGATCAGAGTGTAAAGCCACTCCTTGAACCCGTTCGCAGTATTTCGCCTTTCCAGCTCGCGGACGTATTCTTGTCGACCGAAAATCTGAGTCATCGCTAGATAATCACCCCGCGCATTACGGTGCTGGTGCACAAATCGTAGTACCTCAGCATATAGCATCTTGAGATCAGCCGCCTGGCCAATTACTGCACCAGGCTTAAGCCAGCGCGGCCGATTCAAGTGCCCCTGAGGGTGGGTATCCGTCTTCCACCCATAAGCATCCGGGGGCAGGCTAGACTGCGGAACAGTGACACACCCAGCATCCATTTCGAGGCCGGGAAAGCACTCCTTGCTGGCTGCGAACATCACTCTTTGCGAGTACTTCTGTATCGTTTCTTGCGCCTCTGTACGGTAGGGCCTGTCCACCGTCACAGTCCCATACTTTTCTAGTAACTTCGCATTGTTCTCCCTAAGCAGGTTTTGATACCGCTGGATCAACACCTCGGGCGGCAGTTGGAAAAAAATATCCTGAGGGTCAAGGACGAGGACAAGGTCGGTATCCTTTATCTGCGAACTATATGCAAGATAGTTATATATGCCCGCTATCCGGTCCACCATGGAGGCGTATTCCGTGGATCCTTCCGGGTGGGCTTTGCCGTAGTTGATCAACGTGGGTGGGGGGTAGTTTAGAATCATAGCCGACGTCAAGCTACGGCATAGCGAGGAGGACTTGCGCGACGTAGGTATAAGAAGGTGAAAGGACGGGCTGGACTTTTGCAGACTATGCAAAAGGGTTTCGTTACGATCCAAAGCATGTCTTCCTGGAAAGACCATCGGAGAGTCTTCAGGGCGCTCGCGGGAGGGAGGATATGAGGGGTATTTAAGCCAATAGTTGACAGGTGGCTAACGGAAACATGATTGCGTTAGTATCAATTACCTACTTGGGCTCTCGGATCGAGGACTCACTTCGCCAGAACGCGACAACAGGGTGATGAAAAAGAAGCATGCGACGACTATGAACACAAGTGTCCTGGCCGGACGAGCCCTTAGGCGACGAGGGTGAAACTGTTGCTGCCATAATGTGGTCATTGACGACTGCATGGAATGATATTGATCGACCCACGGGCCGTCTAGGATGCCGTGAAACGACATCTCGAAAGCTCAGGATGAGGGAACTGGACACGGTGTATATCGAAGCACCACCGCTCAGCACGGGCGACGGACGATCTGATTCGACGTCAGGTCGCGCTGATCAGAGAAGGGTAGCCAAAGTGAAAGAGGATCTTCCCAACGATGAGCATTCCTGCAGGTGTGATGCGATTAGGAGGAAGAGGCAAGATTAAGAGGATTCATCGGGAATCGTAGAACGCCATGCTGGAAGCGGGGGGAGGGGGGTAGAACAACGGTCGGCGGTGGTGGTGGTGGTGACAACGGCAGCGATATGAAGGTGAGGTGAGGATTGCAGCGTGTCGGGAGGGAGATCCATGCCACGCGGACGCAGAGCAGGAACTTGAAGGCGGACGGAAGACCACTTCAGCAAAAAGTGACCAGTTGGGTCAGGATTTACGTCGCCGGTGGGGCGGGCCAGGGACTGGGGGAGAAGGCGGCGCGGCCATTGGCCTGCCCTCATCGTCTCCCGCGCATTTGGCTCCTCACCTTTCCCTTCTGGATCCCCGGGCTGGGTCTCCGTCGGGATTGCGACCATCATGCTCTGTGCCGCTGTGCTCTGTACCACCGGGTCATTCTTTTTCAATGGTGGCAGTTGCAGTTTTGGTTTCAAATCTGGCTTGGATGAGCACATGTCACGCAATCTAGATACTACATGCCTCACACCGGACAACTATTCCGTCCCCCGTACGGAGTACATGGTTCTTATTCAGCGGGAAACACCATTCTTCGGATCTGCCGCGTCATCGAGTCTGCACATCCCCGACTGCCCGTGCCCTCCAGGGCTTGGCATCAGTCGCATGGTGGTTTCAAATTGCTTGCTCATTTGTCCATCGCTGGCCCTGCCTTCCGCCTACGTCGATATCTGACGTCTCCCCGTGCATAGATCCACCCTCAATCTACTTTCGAACTAGATGCCCCCGTCCACGGCGAGCTATGCCGCCCGAACTTGAACTATCGCAGTCTCAAACCGTAGTTTATGGCAGGCCGAGGTCGGACAGGTATGTAGATATGGACTACTCCGTACGATGGATGAAATAGATAATTGCGGGGTATCTTCGAACTTCCAGAAGGCACTTGGGGATACCATAGTACTTAGGAACTGAGGGGATTTGCTTGGACCGTTGAACCTGGAGAAAACCCGCCTATCATAAATTTCCCGAAAGACAGGGGCAAAGCGCTAACTTTACAGTATTCACCACCCATCCTTGTATGTACACTACTACTAACGCCGCAACGAGTCCTAAGGTATGCCAGCATAATATACAGCACACTTCTCTGGAATTCACTCCAGATAAATTTCTTCTCGTAGCCGCTGCAAATTGCGAAAGATGCCACCCCCAGGTCCCTCGCTTTCCTGGCGCCGATGACCAGCCGAAGGTCCCTTCGTAAACGAGCCAGCTGGCTGCTGGAATTGATCGGCCCGGCCTTGGGTTTCCAGAGCTTTGCGACGGTCGTCCACTATTTTAACCAGACTGTCTACAAACCTATTTCGGGCTTTCTCCTCAGCGGTTCCCCTCCACATCGTTGCCAAAATCCGTAGTGACTCGACATGGCTTGTGGCAGCTTGAATCCCTTCCTGGCCGCCGCCGTTGCTATCCAGAAGCTCAGTCACCTGGGTCCGCAATTTTTTGGCAACCTCCTGTCCCTTCTCCTCGCGGCTCTGATTCTCCGGTCCAGGATCTGGAGCTGATACCGATATAAAGGACGACGCGATGGAGGTCTCCGAGGGCGGTAGTGGCCATTCCATGGCATCTCCGAATGTCTGCACCACTTCTTCCAACCGGGCCCGTACTTGGTTCAACGTTCGTAGCTTCGTGATGTATTCGGGGTCCTGTATGACTTTTCCCTCTTGTTGTTGCTCCTTCTCTTCCTGGTCATCTCCAGCTTCTTCTTTGATCTGACCGTTGTCTACATCTTCGGGAACAAATTTCGCAATATCCCCCTGTAATGCCTCCGTCAATGTATCAGAGAGTCCGATTGTCTCTCCACGCAGCACTTCAACCTCGTAGGCTAGTCGGCCCCCACCCCGGAGAATCTCATCGGTAAGTTGTGTCAGGGTGTTCGAGTGTCGGACATTTTGCGCATTGATTTGGGAGAGAACAGATTGGACCTGGGTGGAAAGTTCGGGCAGAGGAACGGCCCCGGTGGACCCTCGCGAAAGATTCGTTTGTGTTGACGCCAGCGTCAGTGGAGGAAGAACATCGTTGAGGTATTCGACGGGATCAAAAGATTTATCAATGAAGTCGGGTGTTATCTCGAGCGATGGGCGTGAGCCTGGTGTTCGAGCAGCTGGACTAGGGGTGGGTGAAGGAGCCATCGAGTCGGGGAAACGTTCCTGCCTGGGAGCAATAGGGGGCAAGTTCGCCCTGTAAGTACCTATAGCATAAATCGTCGAATCACCAAAGCTAGATTCGGTGAGGAGTGCAATGAGTTATTTTATGGCCGGCAAAAACAATGCGACTACAACGGGCTGTTACTCCACCTGCTGAGCTGACCGGCCCCATCACACCGCTCTCGGCAGTATTTAATGCTTACCATCTATAGATACGGAGGGAATGGCCTACTACGTAGTACCTAGGATTATACGTTCTGGCCTTGCAAATACGCCGCGAAAAACTAAAAGTATTCTATAGTCACAGGGGCCATTAGAATGGAGCAAGAATTTCCCCACGTAATCTGCATGATCATAGTAATAATTACATTATGAGCATAACATTGTGGACGCATTACTGGTGTATCATAATCGTAGAACAAAAGAAGGGGGGTATCGTCAAATCCAGGTAAGAATCCCAGCGTATTGGGAATCTGAGCGAGAGGGGAGGTAGCCAGTAGGAAGACTACCTGGTGGCGCGGTATCCTGAAGCTATAAAGATTCAAACAGCCTTAAACATTAGCATATACTCATCGCGATGAAGCACTCTTATTGCTTGTGATTAGGCAATCATAGCAAGTCGTCTTCAGATATCTTCAACCACCCGCGCATTCATTGCACGTTGGAACCCGTCATCGGGCTTCCCGTATCGACTGGGCCCTTCGCCAGCACTTTCAGCAGCAGCCAGCTGTTGTTGCACAGTCTGATTCATAGCCGGCAAGAAAATAACTTTGCTATTAGCTGTCTTGGCCATAGATTGCATCGCCTCAAGGTAGCGGATTTGCATCGCAGGTGCAGAAGAGAGAATGTCGGCAGCCTAAGCCATGAGGATTAGCCATTGCAAAAAAAAAAAAAAAAAAAACAGCCGGTCAGACGGGTTATACCTGACGCATCAGTTTGGCCGACTCGACCTCGGCACGAGCTGCAATGACCTTGCTCTCACCAATCCGCTTAGATTGTGCCGCCATCGAAAGAGAATCTTGCAGGTCTTCACTGAAAATGATGTCTTTGATGAGCATAGACTCGACCAGAACACCCCATCCAGCAGCAACGTCCTCGATGATTTCCGAGGTCGACTGGGCGATCTCTTCGCGACGTTCAATCACATCCTGCAGAACCCTCGCTCCAATGACATGGCGCAGTGTTGTTTGAGTGCGCTCCACGAGTGCCTGTCGCACATTGGAGATACCGAATGCGGCCTTGTGGGGAGAGACAATCTGGTAGTAGATCACCGAGGTCAGGTTGAGGTTAACGTTATCCTTGGTCATGCAGGTCTGGCGAGGAACTTCGACGATCTGGATTTTGACATCCACAGCAGTGAGATGCTCACTCAGTGGGTTAATTTTGACCAGACCGGGATCAACAGAGCGTTCGAATCTATAAAATGCAGGAGTAAGCACATAGACTCTTAGGATATTCAACCAGTGTAACAGGGATTACGAACCGTCCGAATCTTGTAACCAAGCCAACTTCACCTTGGGCAACTGGTTTGAATGGGTTGGGGCAACAGACACAGCATGGAATGGCACCCAGCCCTCCAATGCACTCACCGAGCCCGTGAACTAGATAGCGAGGCGGTTTGGTTAGATCTGCGGCACTGGGGCTATCTATGATAATTAAGGGATTGTGAGACTTACTAAACGATGCATACCATCCATGGGCATCGGGGTTTTCATCACCATGCTCAATTTGCTGTGCATACCTGGGCTGTAGATCTCCCAGGCGAGCCGGTTGGACGTGGACCAAGCCTGACGACTGACCAGCGTCTGTGGCTTGCCGAACTGGCGCTTTGCCATTTATTTCAGCACTTCTTTCCGCCGACATATTGGAAGCAAATAAGGTCGGTCGCAAATACTGGGATGGGTTGGAATGTATTATATAGCCGGGAGGTACAACTCAATGTGAAGCTTGAATGGAATTAAGAATGAATGGAGAGGGGTTTAATAACACGGTCGATGGAAGAGGGGGTGAGAGGGGTTTAAATACCGTCGAAGTAGCTGCAACCTTACTGTGGTAGTAATAGCTGGCAGTCAAGCCACCCAAGGTAGCTCCTAGTTCTTCCCGTAGCACTGCGCTCCGTCATCATGTAAACTCAGATCCGTGTTCTCCGCAAGAACACTGTGGGTCGCGAGTTTGGGCCCGATACTCCGATGGTCCCTTTAGCCTTCAGATGTCTTGGCCTTCCGGCCTACCTGAAAGGAGTCTAGCACATTCCTGCTGGGCGCCTTGGAGTTGGGTCCTTACTTCCTGACGCTTCGTCTGCACTTTAGTCCAACTTAATGATGGTGCTCCGCCTCCCAAGGCTGAGCAACCCTAAAGAGCCCCAAGGGCCAAAACCCACTTAGTAGCATCGATGTTTGGGTCGTTCCAGAAATTTGAGTCTTCGTTGTTAGCTGTACCCATCGTCATAAGCAGTTTGATTTGTTTTCACTCAGTCACGAGTACTGTGTGTGCGCCGCAGGGACTTGACCCATGACCGGCTTCTCCGGCCTCACATCTAAGCCTCTCGATGCCGCCCTAGTCAGTCACTACTAGTCACGTATCTAGTTCATGCGTCAATATTCTCCCTCAAAGGTGAGTAGACTAGATGATGCACTGCCAGGTTGACAGACCAAACAGGGTTCTTCCCCCAATAAGGCTGGTACGACGGGATACAGAGCGGGACACGGGTGGGACCACCCCAGTACTTTACCAGAACGTTTCTCCCCAGGCACTTTGGTCCTATCACTGCCCACGTGAGCTAGGTGTTTCCATCTGCGTAAAAGACATCCATTGCCCAGTGGCCATTTTCGAGAGTTTTTTGCCATGTCACTCTTGTGGACGCCCAGCCCTACGTCATAGGAATCACGGCCTACAGTGCTCCTTCAGTCTCCTAGTGGGCTAATCCTAGGGGCTATCTAAGGCTGATTGATGGACTCGGAGTGTGGCCGAACGAGGGATTTAGCTTTTTTTTGTTCTGTTGTCTTACTTCGCGCTATGGATCACGGGTGATGAAAGGGATTGTTTTCGTTGCACCGTTATGGCGTATAGTGCAGTCCATTTCTTCGAGCATCAGGGTCCAGTGTCTTTCGGCAAATGGCTTTGCATAGCCCTCCTAGTACGGAGTGCACTAACAGTACACTTTCCATGATGGTCGCAGTACTTTCTTGGCCCGAGGCCCTGACAAAGAGGCTCTTTTGGGGCCTGTCTGTCATCCTATGTCATTGGCCAAGTCCCCACTACGGCCAAGTGACCGGGCGCGCAAGGGGGCTGTGCTTCTGCTTCCGCACTTGACCTTCAACTGAATACGGATAGCGGCAAGTCCGATCATGATATTTCTCTCAATTCAAATCATGTTTAGGTGGGACAGTAGTTCATGCAAGAGCCCTGCGTGAAGTTGATCAGATCGTGGTCATTTCTACTCCTACGTGTATGATGTGTCTTCAATAGGGAGGGCAATGGGCAAGGGCATCAGAATGCGAAAGATAATCAATCGGGCAATTCCGCGAGGGACGTCGGCCTTCCGGCGGTGGAGTGGGTCGTTCGCATGCCTCTGCCGGTGTGCGTACCTGTGACTTTTTTTCAACATCAACCTATGGTCTTTCGTAGATAATTGTTTAGATTAGTATACGAAGTACTTTTGGCTAATTTCCGCAACAATGGATCCCCTTCACTGCGCTCTCTATCCGAATATTGCTGGGCATATACTCCGTATCTACTCCGTAGTAGTACTTTCCTGATGCAGTTCGACAATGGGTGATAGGTCGATCCGTCCATTGTCCTAAGCGGGGAAGATAGATATCTGTGTAGCTGTTAGCATTGTAAATAAATAATATTGTCGAGCCCAGCATATATTGTATTCTATATGGTAAACACTCATAGCCAGTGTAAGAAAATGGGCATTGGACTACTTACTAAATTGGCCTATAGTAAAAATTACTAGCAAAACTTACATCCATAAGCATCATTGGTCTAGTGGTAGAATTCATCGTTGCCATCGATGAGGCCCGTGTTCGATTCACGGATGATGCAGTTGTATTTTCCTTTTTTTTGAATTTTAATCCCTTTTCCAATTATCCCTTCCCTTATTTTCCAAGGCCCAGGACCCAAATGGCTCTTCTTTGTCGCTCATATGGTGTATCAGGATTATTACAGAAGCTGTCTAGGTGGGCAACTTTTTTGATAGCAAAGCTAGAGTGGCTTAACCTGACCGTTATACCTTAACCTTAACCTGGCCATAACCTGGCGGTCAGGTTAAGGTATAAAAAATTTTTAACTGTACAGTTAAGATCAGGTTAAGATACAACTGTTACTATAATCATTTATATCTGCCGGTCAGAAAGATCAGGTATAGCAGGTAGATTAATAACCGCAGATTAATTTATAATATATATATTCTTCTTATATAGATAATATATAAAGTGTAATATATATTTAATTACAGTATAGATATAATAATATTTTTTAGATATAGTCTATTGCTCGATCTGCTTAATTGATCACGTTAAGAGATATATTATACTCTGAAAAAGGCTTTTACAGAATCTAGTATAGAAGAAATAAGAAAAGATACAGAATATTTATTCTTTATACTGTTCGGGACGATGATTATAATAGTATAGAAATTATAAAGACCGGGTCTCTATCTCTATCTAAATATATATAATAGTTGAAGACTTAGATAAGACTAGTTTGTGATAGAATAACCCAGCTATCGGGATAAAGGTCATCGGGATGACGTGTTATAGTGGTTGTGAGAGTCGTGAGGTCATCGATAGTGGTTCTACACCTCTCCGGCACCTATAAGGTGCCGATCCCTCTGTAAGGAGCTACTGATCCTTCAAGAATCAGTCTATCTCGTGGATATAGGCTACCTTTGTCATTGTCAAACAAATACACAGTGTTTCATGATTAATTTCTTATCTAGTCGACAGACTTTCTATCCTAACAAGTAGATCCTATTATATTCTGATTCTTCTCTTTTTGACTATCTAAGAAAGATATCACTTATTAAAGATAGTAAAGAAATAGAAGCACTCAGCAATTAAATTAATCCAGAATTCTCGCCAAATATTATTCTTACTGTTAAAGAGATTTAACAGCTAGAAGATTATATTTATTAATTAAAACAAGCTATCAACTTACAGCGAAGAATAGCTTATCTTTAAAAAAATAGCTCCCCGAGTGAAACCTTCTTAAGATATTATCAATCCTCCCCCAAATCAGAAAAGAATAAGAAAGAAATCAAGTTTAAAGATATTTCTCACTTTGTTCTGAACTTCAATCTTTAAAAATATCAAGAATAAATTATTAATTTAGAATATATATTCAGAGATATATCTAAGAAATATTTATTAGAGAAACATAAGATTCTTGCTGCTATCAGTTATATAGACTTAATATATAAACAGAAATAGTACTGTTTTATAAATAATAAAAGTCTAAAAGAGAGACAATTTCTCAAGAAATTATAATCTTAATTCAAAGATTAGACTCTTATACTAATTCAAAACACTATTACTCTTTAATCAGATATTATAACTTAACTTAAACAGGCTTATCAGTAATATAGTCAGAATCTGCAAGAGTTTTATACTTATCTTAATATCTTAAAGCAATATTTTTCTTACTAAACAGAAAAAAAAAGAGTCTTATTCTATTTTACTAAGCTACTATTAAATCTAAATTATTATATTTAAAAGTATATTCCCTATCTATCAGAGAAATAGAATAAAATAGTGGCTATTACTACTCACTATTATAAACTATAAGAAAATAGAGAAAAACATAAGTAAAATAATAATTAATTTAGTAATTATAAACCACACAAGCACTTCCAAGAAATCACTAGTAAAATTATTAAAAAAGATATCCTAAATTATAGAGAAAATCTTATTAAAAAGAATAGTAATTAATTATAATACTTTATATATAAAAATACTTAATATCTTATAAACTAATATTCTATCAAAGACAAAAGAGTTCAATTTGCTAGAATCTATTAATTCTTATCAGATTTAGAGAGAAAAGTAGAAAAATTAAAATAGACTTTATAATTTTAACTTCTTTATCTATAGTAAAGACTATATATTATTTTTATATTTCTATTTATATTCAAAATAGTCTTAAAATCTTTACAGATCTGAATAGCTGCGTCGAAGTAAATATTATTAGTTATTAATTTATTAAAGTTTATAATCTTTAATATATTTTAATTACTATGCCAAAGATTAAAGCTATTAATTAAATTACTACTTCTATCTATAATATATAAAAAGTCTCTATTATTATTATTAATTTACGAGAAGGCATCTATATTTTTGAATAATATTATATAAAAATTAATCAGGATTTTTGACTAAAAGACAGCCCTGTACTACTTTTAATAATTATATTTTATAATCTATATATTATCTTATTAGTATAAAACCATCAGTAATAATTTAGTATACTGTTTATTTTACTGCTTTTTATTATTTAATTTATTAAAATAACTCAAAACTTAGTAAGAATATATATTATTATTAAGTTTTCTGAAGATATCTGATTATCAGAAAAAGAATCTTATAATTTATTATTAAATTCTAAGATAATTTCTGTTAAATTTAAGCAGTTCTAAAATATATTTTTTATAAATTTCTTTTAACAGCTATCTTCTTATAGCCCTATAGATTATATTATTAATATTAAATCTAATAAAATATTTTCTTATAGTCTAATATATCTCTTATTTAAAGCCAAACTTAAGATTCTATAAGAATATATTAAAGAAAATCTAAAACTAAATTAAATTTAATCTTTAAAGAGTCCTGCTGAAGTCTCTATTCTTTTTATATTTAAAAAAAATAATAACTTATATTTTTATATAGACTACAGAGATCTTAATAAGATTTTTATTAAGAATTATTATTTTTTATCTCTTATTTTAAAGATTCTTAACAGAATTTCGGAAAGTATCTACTTTTTAAAGATTAATATCAAGAATATATACTATTAAATCTGTATTAAGAAAGATAATAAATAAAAAACAGTATTTTATACTTAATACAGCTACTTTAAATATATAGTTATATTATTTAAATTAACTAATATTTTAATAATTTTTTAAAATTATATATATACTGCGCTTTAAGAACTTCTTAATAACTTTTATATAGTATATCTGAATAATATTCTTA